TTATACACTATTCGAAAGCGGAAGAATGGGCCTCAGTTTGAATAGTGGGAAGACAGAAGTAATGGTTGGTGTTCAAGAAAAATAATTTATTCCTAAATGTGTAATAAAAGTCAATGGTTTTTGTTTTTTTTTTTTAGGACAAGTACAGAAAATTTCTAATATCGGGGCAACATGATAACCTCAGATTGGAAGATGCCATTACTGAAATAAGAAACAGAATAGGGACAAACAAAAACTGCATTTTATTTTAAAATGAAAGAAAACCATCTTATGCAATCTTATCTCTGTCATTGAAGGGTTAGAAATAGAATTATTGCTTGCTACATACATCCAGTTTAAACATATGACTGTGAGTCCTGGACAATCGGTAGGCAGGCCAATTTCTTGAGGCCCCATAGATGTGGTTTTACAGAACAATACTTAAAATACCTTGGTCAGCCAAAAAAAATAAGCAACCAAGAGGTTTTGAGAGAGGCGACAGCCCGAAGACAACTACTCACAGACATCAGAAGGACACAGTTATCAATTTTCGGCCATGTTATAAAATGATGGAAAATGGAACATGTGGTGACCACTGGAAAGATATGTGGAAGGAGGGATAGAGGAAGACAACGAGAGAAGATTCTTGACAGTCGTGTTGCATGGCATGGAGGTGTGTACAGTCAACACGCAAACTTAATACATGCTGCAGGAGATCGCAAGATGTGGCTAGGCATAACCGCCCATGCCAGAATGGGCCAAAGAACCTGATGTGATGATGATTCACTATTTCGTATTCGGACCAAATATTTGCTCCAGCTATTCATATTCGGGCCGAATAGTGAAAATCACTATTCAAAAAAAAAAAAAAAAGTAGGTACAGCCCTACATAATTGTAGAACACTAATTATCTTGATGTGCATAAAGAATCAGAGAGAAGCAAACAAAATTGTGAATTTATTGGAAATATTTCTATATCTTTGCATTGTTGGAAGTTATCAAGCTTGTCCTTACCATGTATTTTATCTGGCATAAAGTGTTTGTTACAATTTTGTCAATCAGTGGTTCTGGGGCTGTATTCAGATGACGGCCTGTGCTGATGAAACAGATTTATGCCTTCGAAAAGGTATTGGTCATGAAAACTTATTTCTTTTGTTTAGTTCTTTTTTTCTGTTTGCATTGTCTATATGCGGTTACATTGTGTAAAGAGTTACTAGTGATGATATTCAAGACTGCGAGGTATAGAATCTGTCACTATACAAGATCAAATCTTTAAAGAAATGTGTGTGCATTAGACTCTGCAGTATGCAGCCTAATGTGTTCATGTTTTTGTTAAACTTTTATAAAGTAGAGGCCAGTTACTTTATAAAATGTTTCTTATGTATTTACTGCATGGGTTTGAAACATTTATTACAGGAAAAGAAGTCCCACAAAGAAATATTGTTCAGAATTCAAGATAAAATCTATGTCTTACTTAACTGCAGGAAAAATAATCAAGATCATCTGCACCTTACAGAATAAATACACCCACCCACACAAAAACCCATTAAATTAACGTAAAACTTAGGCATTACCTACAGAAAGTCATATAAGTAAACAATTAAAAAAAAAAAAAAAAAAAAATAAAAAAAAAAAAACTTTTTTATTGGTAAGTAATTATACAAAACAACATCAGAGCCCTCTATGAAAAAAGTGAAAGTGCAGTAAGAACATCTAGTGGTCTTTCTGAATGGTTCAAAGTCACAACTGGTGTCAGACAAGGATGTGTACTGTCACCATTACTTTTCATAACATACATGGATAAGATCACTGTAGAAGCAAACCCAGACGTGTATGCTATAAACGAATTACTTTTTGCTGATGATCAAGCATACTGTATCAAAATGAATATGATCTACAGGAACATCTGAATACTCTCAACAAACAGCTGTTTACAACATAATATGAGAATCAGTACAGAAAAAACAGAAGTTATGAAGATCAGCAGAACACACAGGCCACTGAATATAAATGTGGAAGTGCCAAAATCAAGCAAACCAAAGAGTTCAAATACTTTGGCAGTATATTTACAGAGGATGGAAGAATGGACAGAGAGATAGAAGAAACAAGAATACAGAAAGCAAAATGCTGTCACATACCAACTATCACTCTCTGCTTAAACATCCAGATATAACCATGGAAGACCAAAAGACAATTGATTAAACACCATCTTCATTCCAACACTCTGCTACCCAGTGCCAGACATGGACATTTCAACAAGACCCATGAAAGAAAAATAGAAGCCTTGTAAAATGAAATGTCTAAGAAAAGCAGCGAAAATAAGACCAGACTAGACAGGATTAAAGATATAGACATTAGGAAACATTGTCAAAACTACACCATGTTTTAGACTACATAGAACATCAAAGAATGAAATGGTTTGGACATCTAACCAGGATGAAAAATGATCAATAACATCACAAATTTTCAACCAAAGAAGCTCAGGATATAAGGCAACGAGGAAAAGACCAAGGAAACGGTGGATTGACGGGGTCTCCGAAACCTGCCAAAAGCATGGCCTCAGAACATCAGATGCTGCCCGCCTTGCTTATGACAGGAACTTGCATCTCCCCACAACGCTTAGCGGCATACGTGGAAGGAAAAAGTAAAAGTAAAGTAAGTAATTATACAAATGGAAAAAGGTCCGCCCGAGATTTAAAAAAAAAAAAAAAAAAAAAAGTAAACTTTCAGTTTTTAGTTACTTGATAGAAGACTGCTTCCTGTATTTTGCCCTCTTCCCCCTTTTTTGTTTATCAGTCATTCGTAATTTTTAATATAAAACAACAACGAAGGCAGGAACGAAGTTTCAGTAAAGTAACCAGGAACAGTAGCAAACATACTCCACACTGTTAAAATCTGATACAGAACTGATGAAGTGAGGAGAGGTAGTGGGTGGCGGCACTTTGATGTTCCAGTTTGTGTCCAACACATGGGATGCACGCTTGCAGTGACTTGGCATAGTAAATTATTACTTATTTCATTACCCAAGAGTTTAAAACAAAAGAATAAATAAGTTAGGATAATCATTGTTTTTTTTTCCTTGCTGTTCCTTAACATTTCTTTTTTATAATAGCTCCGCCTAGTCATATTGTCTCATTTTCGGTTCCATTATGAGTTGTCTGTTTATTTAGTCTGTTTTGTCCATTGATAGAGAGCTGGTAGAAATGTTTTTTTTTTTTTTCATGTCTTTTATTTTCTCTATTGAGTTTTCTAGTCATAGTTTGTTTTGTGTTCAGTTGTTGTTGTTGTTATCGATCCAGCGGCGCATGAGCTTTCGCCCTTTGGCCCAATGCCATGTAGTGGAATTTGCATGTTTTCACAAGCTGTTCTTTTCCTCCGTACAAGGTGTTCCACTTGTCTGGTCTCGGAGGGAGTAGCGTTCTTCTTGTCTCACTGAGTTTTGGGCACTCAAAGAGATGGTGTTCAACAGTTTCGTAGGGGTAGTTACATAGCTGGCACTCTGGGGAGTGTTGTGGCTGTATTCTGTTTAGGTGTCCATTGAGTGGAGTATGTTGCGTTCTAAGTCTGAAGATGGTGGCCTGGTCCCTTCTTGTTAGATGGTTAATGCTGTCATTAGGATCAGGGCCAGACATATGTCTATAAACCTCTCTTCCAGTGTCTCCCATGGCCCATCTGTTCAACCAAGTCTCTTTGTTTATAGCTCTTATCAGTGTTTTTGCTGTCTGGAGGGTTGTCGCTGTAGGTGGTTGTTCTTGTGTTGCTCCTTTCTTTGCCAATCTGTCAGCTCTGTCATTACCTGGTGTGCCGGAGTGACCTGGAATCCACTGCATCAATATTCTGATGTTGTATGAGGTAATAAGCTGATCGGCATCCAGGATTATCTTGGGCTATGTCAGTTCTGCAGCGTTCATTGCCCTCCAGAGCTTGAAGGGCAGACATTGAATCTGTGAAGATGACAATATTTTGGACCTTTGAGGGGTAAACATCCATTACAGTCTTTAGGTGGTATACTGCTGTTTCCAGTGCAATTATTTCAGCTTCATAGTTTGAACAGAATTCCCCGCATGCATCAAAAATCTCTTCAACAGATCCATCGGGATAACCTATGTAGATTCCGTAACCTGCTTTAATGGTAGCTTTAAATGCTGATCCATCAGTATAGACATGTATCCATTCTTGGGGTAAGAATCAACGGTCTTTAGTGATGAGTTCATAAGAGCGATTGGGTCGGACTGTTTGGTTTACTCGCCTACCAATTTAGTTTGGACTTCTGGAGCTTTAAAGCGAGCATGTGGTGGTAGGTTTTTTTGCAACATTCTGAATTCCTTGACGTCTTTCTGGGAGGTGGTATCTGTCCTGAATTTCATTAACACAGTGTAAAACCGATTTGTGCTTTATTCTTTGTTTGGGTTCCCAGTTTTCTACAAGATGTCTATTAGGATGGTTACGATTTTTCCTAACGCATCTTTCATAAATTTCTAAAGTGGTTTTTTTCTCTCCGCAACCCGAGGGGTTCCACATTTGTATGGATTTCACATGCAGCAGTTGGTGTAGACTGCATAGCTCCGCAGATTAATCGGAGGGCATTATTTTGTACTCTGTCAAGAGTCTCTAGGTTAGTTTTGGAACAAGTTGTAAGCAGTGAGTTGTTGTACTCTATCACAGAGCGAACATATCCTAGGTATAAGCCCCTCAGAGTTTCCTTGTCTGATCCCCATGATGTACCTGCAAGTCTCTTTAATAACTGTAACCGCCTCAATGCCTTATTCCTGATGTTTTCAATATGGTTCTTGAGGCTGAGCTGCGGGTCAAGTGTGACTCCAAGGTATGTGGGATGCTCTTCTTTCATCACTTGGTGTTTGTCTAACCTCAGGTTAATATTCTTCCTTGCTACTTGGTGGCTTTTGGTAAAGATTGTGTAGACCGTCTTTGCACAGTTAATCTTGAGTTTCCATCTTTGGCAGTAATCATGCAGTCTTCTAAGGTCTCCATTCAGTCTTTGGGCTCCACTTTCCACATTTTCATGACTCTGCCATATTGCTAGGTCATCAGCGTACAAGGCTTTTTCGGCCTTGATTTGTTCTGGCAGGTCATTGATAAAGATTAGGAATAGTGTACAGCTCAATGATGAGCCTTGTGGCAAGCCCTCCTCCAAGACTTCTTTAGAAGAGATTGCGTTGTGCATCTTAGTCTGGATTGTTTCTATCTATCAGGAAGTATTCACCCAGTTATACAATCTGCCATGTATTCCTATGCTCATCATCTTCATCAGGAGACCTTTTCTCCATACTCTGTCATAGGCCTGCTGGAGATCGACAAAGACTGCCACTGTGTGTTTCTTATTCTGGAAGCCATCATGTATTCTTTGTGTCAGTCTGAACAGCTGGTCTTCTGTGCAGCTGTTTGGTTCTGAAGCCTGCCTGTTCATGGCATAGAACACCAGAACTCTCAAGGAACCAATATAAGCGCCTGTTTATCATTCTTTCTGCAACTTTGCCCAAGCATGATGTTAAGGATATCGGGCGGTAGCTTTTGGGGTCATCTGGAGGCTTTTTGGTTTTAAGGATGGGGACGATATATGCATTCCTCCATGCCCTTGGAAGTTTGCTTGACCTCCAAGTTTTATTAATAAGCCTGAGAACTACTTCTCTCCCAGACCGGCCAAGATGTAGCAGCATTTCGTTGTGGATCTTATCTGGGCCTGGAGATTTTCTAGGTTTTAATTTCTTCAGGGCTTGCTCTAGTTCATCCATGCTAAATTCATTTTCAAAAAGGGAGTCGCTGGCTGTTGGAGCTCTCTCTTGTTTCTTCAACTGAGAGAGCTGTGTTCTATTGAGTTCTGACAGCTTACCTGCTCTGTTAACTGAGGCAAAATAATGATTGAAATGTTCTGCTTTCTTCTTGTCTTCAGTGATTGTCTTACTCCCATCTGTCACTGGTTTTGGGTTCACCCTTGTACTTTCTCCGGAGAGGTTTTTAACTAAAGTCCATGCTTTATTTCCATTCTGTCTAAGGTCTAAGTTGGAGCAAGTTTCTGTCCATTTATCTCTTTTAGCCTTATTAACTACAAGCTTTACTCTGGCACATGCTTTATTGTATTGGATCTTTGCTTCTGTTGAACGTGCAGTTTCGAGAAATATTCTTGCTTTATTCCTTTCAGATATAGTATTTTGAATCTCTTGATTCCAAAAAGGTTTATATGCCTTCCGGCTGCCCCTTGGGATGGCTTTCGACGCTGCATTCAGGATTGCTTGTGTTATGTCTTCACAAAAAGTTTCCACACAGCTGTTGTCAATTCTTCCCAGGAGGCAGTCAGATGTTTCCTGAAATAGTTTCCAGTTTGCTTTTCGGAAATTCCAACGGGTTCTCTGCTTAAAGCGTAATTTAGGGGTGGTGCTTACAGTTGTGAGTATAGGTTTGTGGTCACTTCCTATGTCGTCCAGGACTTGGGGATAGCTTGCGTCTGCTAAGTCGGATGAGCAGATGGTCAGGTCTGGTCTGCTGAGAGATAGGTGGGCCCTGTGTAACAGTGTAGGTGTAGACTCTGTGTCCTGCAGCACTAATAGGTTAGTTGTTTCACAAGTATCTTCGATGTACTTCCCTGTGCTATTGTAGTCAGAGTAACCCCAACGTGGCGAGTGTCCGTTGAAGTCACCAACAAGAAGGGTTTTATGGTACTGTGTCTTATATAGTTCTGGTATGTTGCATGTTGTCTGAGGTGGGCTGTACACGTTGTATATCGTATATTTGCTTCCATTGTGCCAGATAGTTATTTTTTGCACATCTGTAGGGTGAGATGTCGACAGCATTGTTACATCTCCTTGTATGTCATTTCTGATATAGGTCACTATGCCCCGGCAGTCATTGCACTTACAGGCATAACTAGTATATCCAGTGAGATGCAGATCAGAGTCTTTATGCAGGGTTTCTTGTAGGGCAGCCACGTGTACCCTGTGGTTGTTTAGCAGTTTGGCAAGTTCAAGTTTCTTATTTCTTATTCCACAGATGTTCAGCTGCAGAATATTGAGCATCTGTGTATTTTTTTTTGCTGTGCTGTCTGAGTTCTTTTTGCTCTCCCTCCCACTCTTCCTCCTCCTGGGGTGTCTGTTTTCCCTATTTATTTCAAATTTTCCAGTAGCCAATTTTTCGCACATGACAGCCTGGTTTCCCACTGTCTGGCGCGGGCCTTGATAGACGAGGCGACGACCGATCTCGTATGTATTCTTAAATTTTGACATATTCATGGCATTGTGGTGCTGGGGTGTCTGTGGATTACCTACCTCCCCGGGCAGCAGCTAGAAATGCCCTGTACAGTTCTAAAGGAAATATGGGTTGTGTTTCTGCCTTTCCCTTTAACACGTAGCTAAGGTGGGGCTCACAGTGTTCTCATTCCCCGCCACCAGATTGCCTGCAGGTTTCGCTGAGCTCTTCATGTCTCTAAGCATGGCCTAAGCATGAGTAGTTGGGGGCAACTGGATCGTCACGTCCTGAGTCCCTGTGCCTTCACGATAGTTTCCGGTATTCAGGGGGGTTAGCATACTTGTTTCCATTCCTAAGACTGTTCAGCACACCTCTGGTTCCTTCCCTCCCACAGGGGGCAGTACGGTGTGGTGCACCGGGTTTATTATCGAGGTTTGCTCCTCTAGATCCATTGTGTTTTGCCTGGGGATTCGCACCCCCAGTTACCGGGACTACCTCGGGGAGGCTGTGACTCTTCGCCACGCACAATGGTCTTGAGGTAAGAGAGGTTTTGCTAGGTCAAGAGGCTGACACCACAATGGACGCTCCTTTCGTGAACAGATATTCACTAGACCTAGGGTGAAGTAAGGGGGGGAACCCACAACACCAACACTTCTTACCCCCTGCCTCTCGAGGCTCAGTCCCTTGTGTTCAGTTACTTTCAGAAGGTGACAACCTGAGTGACAGTTCCCCTTCCTTTTTATCTGTGTTTTCAAATTTGTAGTCATGAACATCTGTTTTATCAGTTCCTATATTTTAATTTATTTGTTAAATGTTTCAGATATCAACCCCAGCCCGACAGCTGCGCTCTAGCAACTCAATGACTAAAAACCGCAAACGGAAAAGACTTCAAGAACTGGTTGCAGAGACGGAAGGATCACCATATATGGTATTTAAGCGTCGGTCGTCATCTGCTGAGATCAGCACCAACTCCATGAGCCCAGATTCATATTTGGATGTTACATACACGCCAGACAAGTCGGACACACATTTAGGTACAGTAATAGGTGCGGACGCCTCCATTTTACATAACGTTTGTAGTTTATTTGAATTCTGTTGATGTTTTTAATATGGTATAATAGAATCATGGATAACATCAGATGGAAGGTGCGTAACTGAGATAGGAAACAGAATAGGACAGGCAAAAATGCATTTTATAAAATGAACATCTTATGCAATATATTGATGTCACTGAAGGTTAGAAAAAGAATATTTGCTTGCTACATACATCGAGTTTTAACATATGACTGTGAGTCCTGGACAATCGGTAGGCAGGCCAAACAATTTCTTGAGGCCTCGGAGATGTGGTTTTACAGAAGAATGCTTAAAATACCCTGGACAGCCGAAAAGAGCAACGAAGAGGTTTTGAAAGAGGCGGGAGCCCGAAGACAACTTATTACAGACATTAGAAGGAAACAGTCGAACGAACGAACGAACTTTATTTTCAAAGGGTCACAAATTGGGCACGCAGGCCCGTCTTACATTCGGCCCTTCCAGTCAACCATCTTTCACACAGCAATTGTATTTTACTAATAAAGCATGTTATGATGATATGCATATTATATATATTATAAAAGAACACAAAAGCATGAGTTGTAAAGTGCATGCAAAAACCCGCGCGTGCATACATACACCCACATACACACGCTCACCCACCCACTCACTTACACACACATACATGCATACATTGCATACATAAACACATACATACAAACAAACATGCATACACACAGGCATACATACACACAAACATACATACAAAGATACAAACATACAGGCATACATTCATTCATACATAATACAGGCATACACACATACAAACATACAGTCATAAATACAGTCATGCATGGAGACATACACATGCACACACGGACACTCCCACAGAGACACACACACTCAGACAAAAATACAGGCACATATAAACACACACAGGGAAACACACAGCACACATATTTACATTCGTACACACACACCACACATATGCAGACACATACATACAGCCACATAGACACACACGCAGTCAAACACACACACACACACAAATACAGACAAACAGGCAGACAAACCCATACTGACACCCACAGAGACAAACACGCAGAAGTGCATACACATGCAAACACATAGAAATACACACGCAGACACATATATTCAGCACGCACAGACATATACTCTGACATGCAGACACATACAGACAACAAAAGGGCACACACAATACACACAGAGAAACACACATAGACATGCACAGACAGACAGACACATGCTGATACATACACTCACGCAGACAGACATACAGACACCCACACACAGAGATACATACATACAGCCTCATAGACACACCCGCAGACAAAACACATAAACAAACACAGGCAAACATGAAGACAAACACATACGGGGACACACACAGACACAAATGAAGATATACACAGTCACATCAAATATGCAAAAAAAAAAAAAAACACAGAGACACATACACAGGCAAACAAACACAAAGAGACACACACAGACACATATACACAGCTACATGTATCCAATCGCACACACACACACGCAGACACACATACACCGCAAAGAGGCACACAGAAACACACACAGACCAATTCACACTGAAACATACACGTGGACATACGCGCGAACACACACACATTCGCACACATACACAAGGACACAGACGCATTCATTCGCAAACATACTCAGAGTAATTTTTCCTCAGTCGTAATTTTTCAGCCATGTTATGAGAAGAGGGAAAATAGAACATGTAATCATTTCAGTTTTTGTAGACTAGTCAGATTATGAAATAATGAGAAGTTATTTACTTTTTATTTTAAAAGGTAAGTTTTTATTTTTAAAAACTAGTGCTTCATTACTTTATATATAGTTGTAACAGTTGTGTATTGCGAACGTTTCTTTTTTGAATAAACAGCAGTGAAGAAAAAAATGCTCACATTTTAAACTTGTTTAATGTTGCAGGAGAGTTGAAGTTGGAAGGCAGGGATGAGAACACACAGACCAATGTAGGAAAACTTAGCAAACGGCAGATGGTGGTGATGGAACTGTTGCAAACTGAGCAGAATTATGTGGGCATTTTGCACACTATTTTAAATGTAGGTCATTGGCTTGTTTCATTTTTGTCTCTCCTCTAGTTTTCTGTTACTGTAAAGGCCAGCTTTGTTTTGTGTTTCCCTGTGTATTGATAACTTATCACATAGCCTTTATTATTTAAAGTTAAAAAAAAAAATAATGTTAGAAGTTTTATTCTGCTTTCACCTCCAGTACTGAATGATGGGGAAGGTGGGGTCTAGAGACAGAAGTCCTTTTCATCCAGCTAAATCAAACTACATCCAGACCATGTATTTGAGAGGGGAGTGGCGAACATTTTAAATTTCAGCCAGTTTGGTTGCTTGCAATGTGTTGGGTTTATATTTGAAGCTACAGCGGCACAGAATAAACTAGAAACATTCCTTGACTGGTGCTTGCATAGAATAGAGGGAATTAAATGGTGTGATAGATTTCACTCACGCGGAGCTTCAAGAGATTCTAGTGAATCAAGAGGTGAAGAAAAAATGCTGATGCTGGATAGGGTGTTATGCTCGAACCCCGTTGGGTATCAAAATAAAAGCAGACAAAAAATGGAATGAAGCTAGAAAGTGAAGTTTAAAAGATAGGATATTTAACTTTCAGAATCTTATGAGAATTGCCTTTGAAGAAAAGACTTTAAGTAAGGCAGCTGATCAGCAGACTTTGTATGTCATGATCTACAAACATATGGAGATAATCAGAGTAATAATATTGAAAGGACTTATTATCCTGTTGATATCAAATGGTCTGTTATTTATAAGCAATGATGTGTTAGTAGTAAACGTTACAGAAAAAAATATTTTATTGTTTCAGACATTTAAAGCACAGATAGAAAAACCTGACCAATATAACGGACCAATTTTAGCCCCTCAAGACACAAAAATTATCTTCGGTAATATTCCACCCATATACGAGGTTCACTGCAAGTTGAAGGACTCGTTGTCCTTTCTCATGGAACACTGGTCGGAAAACAATAGTATTGGAGAATGCCTTTTGAACAGGGTAGGTTGCTTCTTTCTTCTTATTCCTCTTCTATCCTCCTTATGAAAGTGACCATCTATAGTCTTTAAAAATATGCATGGAAGTAATATTTAAATCATGCGGATGCAAACAATTCATTGCCCACTTTTTTTTTTTTTTTTAAACCTGGCATGTTGTGCTGTTTCTTGTCGGGTGCATTACTACAGAGTTACATCAGCATATAAGACATTGTGGTTTGTGTAGCTGGTTGGAAAGGATTCATTTTTTTTAATGTGTTCAAAATATGAGGATGTAACTATATATAGTACTCCATCTGACAAGATACATCAAAATATACTGGGCAGTAAATTGTGTAATGCATTGTTCATGTTTTATTATTTGAATTTACAACATGAAAACATCTTTTGTTAAAAGAAGTAATGATTGATTGGCATTAATAAGATTTGATGGCAGGTTTTATTACTCTATTTTTTTCTCTTAAAGGGTAATTTATTTCCTGAAGACATTTACGATCTTCTTATTATTCACCGGCTGTAAACTCCAGTGGAAAATTATAGTTTTTCGCCCATTTCTAGACTTTCGTCTTGTTCCAGAACTTACATTTTACATGCAGACTGTTGGTTCCTTGCCTTTCAGGCAGATGTATTCCCATTTCGAAGTAAACTTCGCTAATTAATCACAGTATACTACATGCTTGTTAGGGAGGCAGTGGGTGTATTCTTGTTCTTTTGGTACTATTAACCGCATGACCCTGATGAATATGTTGAGAGGGGAATCTGAGCGCCTATGGATGTGTCCAGAGTACTGTGAAGATAATCTAACTCATAACTCATAATTTTTTTTTCTCCTCCAGAAGTGGGATCCGGAACCCACACGGGAAACATTTATGAACCACTCTGAATTAATATTGGTACAGATGGAATACTTCTTTTTTGTTGTGTTCATCGGCTGCAAACTCCGGCAAAAAGTTCTGGTTGTTCAGCCACTTCTGGACTTTAGTCTTGTTGCAGAACCTGAGCGGTGTGTGCACATCCAGTTTACATTTCTGACCTATTTGTATGCAGACTACTGATTCCTTACCTCTCAAGCAGATGCACTCTGTCTTAAAGGAAGTCCTCAGTTAGTCGACATTCACAACATGCTTGTTGGGGAGGCAGTAGTTCTGTTCTTGTTTTTCCAACAATGGGGCCTCAGAACCCATGTGGAGAGGTGGAATACTAAAACAGGTCCTTTAATATCTTAGTTTAGTGTAGACCTCATACCAGCTTAGAAAGTTAAGGGTCCTATTTACACCAGTAGCTTTTTGAGCATATGATGCTACTCTCATATTGTTTTTAGACCAAGTGGCACTGAAAGGGTGATGGGGTCAGCATCATGCCGGCCACCTTTACTTCCCAGGATACCTTTCATCACATTCAATTGCTGTATACTGCTGCAGAAAGTTCTGGTTGTTTGTCCATGCCAGGACTCTAGTCTTGTTCCAGAATCTGAGTTTTGTGTGCTATTTTACAGATCTGACATATTTGTAGGAAGACTGTCGGTTCCTTACCTCTAAGGCAGATGTATGGAAGGGATGTAGGCCAATTGTTAAAAAGTAATTTGATATTTCTGATTCTCTTAACATTATTTTCTGTTTATATTATTTATTTTGAGTGTGTGCCGTTTTTGTTTTTTTAAATTTTTTTTATTATATATGTTACCCTCTTTATAGGCTGAAGAAATGATGAAGGCGTATCCCCCATTTGTAAATTTCTTTGAAAAAACAAAGGAAACAATTCAGAGATGTGATAATTCAAACCCACGGTTCCATGCATTTTTAAAGGTAGGCACATTTCTTCATTGTAATTAGGTTTTCTTGTAAAACAGCTGCTAGTGCTAGATCCATCTATGACCCAGGTCTGTATGTGGTGGAAAATGAGGGTTAACAGTTGCTGCTAGGCTTCTCGGTCATCAGTATTCTATATGGGAGGTGAAGAAAGGATACTTCTATCATTTGTTACCCAATTCTGCCAGCACTATGTGTGTGTGGAGAAATGTAGGGGCAAAGTTTGGTCTTCAGCTGCAAACTACATATCTGAGTCTAGGGGAAGGAGGGATTAGAAGTATGATCTGCTACTCTATTGCCAACACTTTATAGGAGGGTATGAACAAGAGGTGGTCTTTCTTCACCTGCTCTCCAGATCTGAGTGTAGGGGAAGGAGGGATTAGAAGTATCATCATTGAAAACAAATTTAATGACTTACTGACTTTCTACCCCTCCAGGACATCACACAAGTGATAAACACCTGATGACACAATGTGCCACCATGCTGGTGAGGATCATCGTGGAGAGGTCCCAGAAACCGCGTTCAGCCTTTAGGCCAAATTTATGGCTAGGCTATATTGCGGCCCCTGGCAAGAGCCAGAGTAGGGCTTCAAATAACAAAAAATTGTGTCCTAAAAAGGAGGATAATTATAGAGTGATAACAAGCTAGGGTCAAACAAATTTAATTTTGTTTCACATCCTTTTATAGGACGGTGCAGAATCAGCCTCAGCTAATTTTTTCGATTTCTCTTTATTTCATTAAGGTGAAAATGGCAGTATTTACTTATTATAAGCCATAGAGCTTTTTTAAAAATCACTCATAAAACAAACAAAAAAGATCCTAGGTGTATTGATATCAGACTCATTTTATTAGACCAATCAGCACTCAGTGATTGATGTGGTCATATCACGCAGGCCGTCGTTACTTTCCAGACATTACCTGGTCCCTTTTTTAGGCTTGGTCACCCTGAAGACCAAGGTACATTAGGGAAAACAATCTGCCTTGTTGTAGATTCAAACTTGACCTTTTGGCTGGGAGGTATCTAGTTGCTACACTTGTATAATGATTACACAGCTGTTATGTTTTTACAGTTGTGCCTTAGTAAACCAGAGTGTGGCAGACAGTCCTTGCAGGAGCTTCTTATCCGTCCAGTACAGAGGTTGCCTAGTGTTATTTTATTGTTGCAGGGTGAGTACTGTCTGTCGACAGTTTCAGAGATTCTCTCTCTCTCTGTCTCTTTCTGTCTCTCTCTCTCTCCCTTCCTCCCCCCTCTCTCTCTCTCTCTCTCTCTCTCTCTCTCTCTCTCTCTCTCTCTCTCTCTCTCTCTCTCTCTCTCTCTCTCTCTCTCTCTCTCTCTCTCTCTCTCTCTCTCTCTCTCTCTCTCTCTCTCTCTCTCTCTCTCTCTCTCTCTCTCTCTCTCTCTCTCTCTCTCTCTCTCTCTCTCTCTCTCTCTCTCTCTCTCTCTCTCTCTCTCTCTCTCTCTCTCTCTCTCTCTCTCTCTCTCTCTCTCTCTCTCTCTCTCTCTCTCTCTCTCTCTCTCTCTCTCTCTCTCTCTCTCTCTCTCTCTCTCTCTTGCTCTTGTTGTACCCCACCAGGACATCACACAATCGATAAACACCTGGTCACACAAAGTGCCACTACGCGGATGAGGGTCACCCATTGAGAGGTCCCAGAAACCCCTTTCAGTCAAGCCATATTTATGACCTGGCTATATTCAGGGCCTCTCGGCACAAGTAATTGTGTGGCTTCAAATAATGAAAAATTGCATCCTACATGGGGACGACTATATAGAAGTGTATGTGAGCTCTACAGCACCAATTAGAGTAGACAAAGGATGTTGTGGTGATTAACCGTTAGCATTTACAGCAGAGCAGCACCGAGAAACGAGGCAACACACACACACAGTTGAATTATTGTTTCTTGTTATTCGTCCTACTGATGAAGGCTAATTGCTGCAACATCTTTTGTTTGTCTCCTGTAATTTGCCCTGTAAAGCTGACTTGAATTTATGTTTTCCCATTATGTTTTTTTTTTTTTAAAAAGACTGTCAAGTTTTACTGCAGTCACTTCTTTCTGATATGTATAATTTCAAAAAAAAAAAAAAAAAAAAAAAAGGAAAAGCTATGTTCATACAGTAGAAACTTGTATAATTGTCAATAAAATAATTTTCAAGTAAATGTTATTCCTGTATTTGTGGTAACCATTCAGTAAATTTATCACACCTGTCAGAGTATTATTTGGTTTGAAGTGAATTTTTTAACTAGATACGAATGTTACTAGAGACTCATTCTATGTTTGCTCTTAAAAGAGATTGGTACGTTGTGTTGTGATTTACAGCTAGGCTGTGATATCGAACACCTTTCAACTCAACACATTTACTGTCAGCAAGCTGCTCTTTGGTTGCCTTTTATGACTTCCTTGTTAGGCGCAGTGGCTCTTTTTCTCCTTCCCCTAAAATTGGTGCCCAGAACCCAAACAAGGAACTAGTGGAGACTAGAGCTGAAAACAAACAGATAGCAGATCACCTTAAGGCATGACATCAGCAAAATTAGCATTTTCCCTCCCTTCTTTTCTGAGACGCCAAAGAACAAAAACAACAGAATGTATAATTGGCATCTTCTAAATCAAGGTTAGGGAAAGGCGAGACAGATACCTAATCAGACAGTTACAGGGGCCATAAAAATTGGAACTCTTCACTTGCTGCTGAAGATTGGGACAGAGTGCTTATAGGGGTGTCCCGAGTAATGTGATGTCAATTCTTAAATCAGGGTTATTCAATTGATAGGCTGAATGTGTCCCGCGGAGGCCTAGCAAGTGGCCTGCTGTGGTTCATTGCCAGTTGTATTGGATTAATGACCTGTCTTTGCCTCTGGGCTGTGGTGATCCCCATTTTCACAATTTTGGTTAGTTGAATAGCTCTGTTCTAAATCATCCACAAGCACTCACTACTTTGCATGTTATGAATGTTTACTCCATCAGTTATCACAGCATACAATGCTTTAGTTAAAAAATGCTACAGGTGACGATTTCTGTCTGCTTCACAGATATACACAAACGAACAGAATCAAACAACCCAGACAAAGTGAAGTTGGAGCAAGCAATTGACAAGGTTAAAACTATCATGACGTGAGTTGACATTTATTTATATCATTGTAACCCTAAAATACATTACTTATTGTGTGTCCAGTTAAGGATCAAATTTACACAGAACTACAGGTGAGCGGAGATATACTATCTCACCCTTAAAATGGGAGTTGGCAGGGTGTGTTAAAGTTGCAGCCAGGCTGTGATATCTGCTCCTTTCAGCCCAACACATCAGATTTCACCAACAACAAAAATTTGATTCCTTTTACAATGTGCTTGATGAGGGGCATTAGGTCTGTACTCCCAGCTTTTACAGATTGCATATGAAAATGTGCTTTATATTTTAGTTCTATAAAAGTAAGAGGCTTGTCTCTGATAGTACTTTATACTAGTTTATTTGCGTTTTATTAAAAATTTTCTTTTTGTGCATCTGTTTAGTTAAAGATCACTGCAGTGTGTTATCAGAGCTACACCAGTGCGGAATCGCCAGCTATATTATTTTGTTGTTGTTGGTATATGATTTACAGATTAATGTTGTAATAATCATTTCCGTTTATAAACATAAGAGTTTGTCAATTGATCACATAGACCAGTCATTTCTGTAGTTGGTGAACACTTACTGATGTTTAAATCTTGAATGTACACAGGCACATCAATGAAGACAAAAGAAAGACAGAAAGCCGTGTGGTCATGTTTGATATCATCAATGACATTGACAGTTGTCCGGTAAGTGTTGCATTTGATTTCTGCTATTTCTTCACCTTTGTTGTGTTCATTTTTGTCACTTCCCTTCTTTTTTTTTTCTGCTTCGAGTGTTGAAGGAGATATTAGGTTTTGATTCTTGCTCTTCTGGCTGCTTTAATCATAGATGTGTTGTACTGTAAAAAGTTTCACTGATATCGTTTCTTGGTGTATCTCCTGTTCTAATCCCTGTCCTCTTGGTTGGTGTATGCCATAATGGTTTGGTGTTTAAAGGCATTCTTATGAAATTAGCACATTTTTGTCCTGTTGTCTTTTTTGTGTAGTTTAGTATTGATTCTGTGCCAAATTGTTCTTTTATGACTTTCTTTCTGATTTAATTTTTTCCAGTCAATTTGTTGTGCCTGTGATCCTTTGATTTGATGGATTACACATTTTAAAAAAAAAAGCTATTTAAAATTAGTATCAAAATTAGACATGACTGATGTTGAGTTTTTTGCATAGGAATAAAGGAAGGAAAAAAAACACATGGAGAAGAGAGCTTGAGAATGAAGTTAGAAAGATGGGAAGGACATGGGGAGAGCTCCATGTAATAGCGAAGGATAGAACAACTTGGCCTGAGTTGGTTGAGGGCCTATACTCCATTAGGGGAATAAGAGAAGATGTTGACTTGATGTAAAAAGGAAAACAAGACAAAGATATAAAATTCAGTGTGATGAAAGATACAAATACGGGTGCATCTCTTGGACCCACACATAGACTTCAAGACAGTCTTCATCTGTTATGCATCTGTGTGTGCCTGTCTAATAAACCATCCGTTTTCTCTCTGCAGGCCACTTTGTTGTCATCCAATCGCCATTTTGTTATAAAAGTGGACGTGATGGAATTATCGGGTAACTTGTCCTCTCGGGGTGATCCTCTGACGTTGTTTATATTCTCTGACAGTGTAGAGGTAGGTATCACAATTCTGTTGAAATTACACTTTAGTAAATTTGTTTACAGTTATGGAAATAAATGCACACCTGTATATAGTTTTTGCAACATAATATCAAGTGGTAATTCTATAAAGTTTCTTTGCAGATTCAAGCAGCAAACTGCATTTTTTTAAAAAGAAATGTTTTATATCCTGTGATGTTGACATTGGTTTTTTGTTTAAGAAATCCCTGTATGGGTTCTGGGGCCCTATTATGGGGGGAAAAAAGACTAGACCCACTGCCTAACCAAAAGCATGCCGTAAAAGTTGACTAATTGGGAGCTTTCCTTCAAAGTTGGCGTGCATCTGCCTGAGAGGCAAAGAACCAGCAGTCTGCATACAGTCTGTAAACCGGGATGCACACGAAACACTCAAGTTCTGGAACAGGACTGCAGTGCAAGAGTGGATAAACAACCAGAACTTTCCCCCACAGTTTACAGCTGGTGAACACGAAGAAGAAGTTTAAGAATTTGCAATAAAATGAGGATTGCCTACCTTGAAGAAAAAACCTTGAAAAAAATACCTCGTAAAAAATACATTGGGGAAAAAAAAACTTGAAAAAAGTTTGTGAATTGTGCTATGACCCCTGAAATGGATACTTGTAATGAGATTTATGTATGTTGACAATTTAACTGAAGATGGAACAGTGTTCTCATTGCAAAGAAGACCAGAGTAAATATGGCTGTGGTTGTGTAGCGGCAGTGTGTTAGCCTGACGATCTTGGGTTCGAATCAGTATCGAGCCAGATTGTTTTCTCTTAAATGACCTTTGTTTCCAGCTCATCCCACCTCAAAATGGCTATCAGCTCAAATTCTGGAAAGTAAAGTCAGCCGACCTGATGTTGACCCACCTAGTGCCGAATGGTCTATTTAAAAAAAATGTGAGTCTAGCATCATATGCCCAGTGAACTGTTGCTTTATTCTGTTTTACCTAATATAACAGGCATGGTAACTTTGTACCCTTGGGCTGGACAGACAGACAGGTCGATGTATGAACAGACAACAAGCCAGGTTCTGTTGGCTAATTAAGTAGATATTGCTTGCCTGTTCTGGTTTTCAAGTACTTTGGTTATTCATTTCTGTGACCCTTGAACTTTCCAGATTTGCAAGAGAAGGTTAAAAGTATTGACCTCCCATTCAAAAAGTCCTGCTGTGAACTCAAATAAAAAATCCTACAAGCATGTGGAGATGATCTCCATGTCCTGCATCAAAAGAGTAGTTGATGTTGAAGAGGCAGAAGGTAATAAGCAGTTTTGTTGGGGACAATGAGCAGTTATCTAGGGGGTGTATTGGGGGAAAATGAATGGCTGTCTGGGGATGTATTGGGAAAAATAATCTGGGGATTTATCGGAAAAAGTGAGCAGTTATCTAGGGTGTATATTGGAGAAAAGGAACAAATATCTGTGGGTGTTTTGGGAGAAATTAGCAATTATCGTGGGTGTATTTGGGGACAAAAGAGCAGGTCTCTGGGCGCGTATTGCAAAAAAAATGAGCACTTATCTGGGGTGTGTTGGGGGGGAATGAGCAGTTATCTGAGGTTTGGGAGAAATGAGCAGTTATCTGGGGTGTATTAGGGAAAATGGGAGGTTACTGGGGAAAACGAGCAGTTATCAGGAGTGTATTGAAAAAAATGAGCAGTTATCTGGGGGTGTGTTGGGAAAAATGAGCAGTTATCTGGTTGTGTAATGGGGAAAATGAGCAGTTATATGGTTGTGTAATGCAGCAAAAAGCAGTTATCTGGGGGTGTATTGGGGATAATGAGCAGTTATCTGGTTGTGAATTGGGGGAAATGAGCAGTTATATGGTTGTGTAATGGGGAAAATAAGCAGTTATCTGGGGGTGTATTGAGGGAAAATGAATGAATGGCTGAGTATGTACTGGGGAAAACAGTTATCTGGGGATATACCTGAAAAAAGTGAGCAGTTATCTAGGGGGTATATTGGGGCAAATGAACAGATATATGTGGGTGTATTGGGGAAAAAATGGGAGGGGGGCAGCAATTATCTGGGGGTATATTGGGGAAAATGGGCAGGTATGTCGGGGTGTATTGGGGGAAATGAACAGTTGTGTCGGGGTGTAATGGGGGAAATGAGCAGTTATCTGGGGTGTATTGGGGGAAATCAGTTATCTGGGGTTGTATTAAGGGGAAAATGAGCAGTTATCTGGGGATGTATTGGGAAATATGAGCAATTATCTAGGGGTTTATGGTCGGAAAATGAGCATTGATTTGGTAGTTTATTGGGGACAAATGAGCATTGATCTGGGGGGTGTAATGGGGAAAAATTATCATTGATCTGGTGGTGCATTGGGAATTTTTTTTAATTGATCTGGGGGTGTATTGAGGAAAGAATTATAATTGATCTGGAAGTGTATTGAGGAAAATAAACAGTTATATGGGGGGGGGGGGGGGATGAGCACTTATCTAGGTTTTGGGGAGGGGGTGGGGAACAGTTATCTGAGGATATTTTCGGGAAAATAAGCAGTTATCTGGCAGATGCATTGAAGGGGGATGAGCATTTTGGGGATGGAGTGTGTTTGGGGATATGAGCAGAATAGTCTGGAAGAAATGCCACAATGAGCACAGTGGGGTCATTGGATAAATGATTGACCTAATTGTTATATTCTATTACCATATTTTGGATTTTAAGAAAGCAAGCTGGATTACTATAATTTTTCTTGTTTGTAGGACACTATCTCTGTAGGATTTCAGCTGTGTTTTCTAACTGTGTTTTATATAACAAATCATTACTATTAAACAAATTGCCTATCTCTGTAGGATTGCAGAGAATACTGTGTGTGTGTCAGCACACTATACTTCTGTGTTTATCCATATGTGTGAGCAAACACAAATCAAGCACTATATAACACAAATCAAGCACTATATAAGGACTCTAAATAACCAGAAAGCACCGTAAAAATGAGTAAGAATTATTACTTAAACTTGCCTATTCTGTAGGATTGCAGAGAATACTGTGTGTGTCAGCACACTATACTTCTGTGTTTATCCATATGTGTGAGCAAACACAAATCAAGCACTATATAAGGACTAAAAAACCGTAAAGCACCGCAAATACCTTGAAAATTCCTTTGGGTTAAAAAAAAAAGTTGGTGAATGTGTCTACGAATCTTGATATTTTTCATATTTGTTATCCTAGACTGCTGCCTTGCATTTGGACTAATTTGCCGAGACAGTGTCCAGGCCAAGGAGAAGCTGTACAGCTTCACACTAGACACAGATGATGTCTCCAAAGAGGAGATTCTGACAACTATCTGCAAGAATCTTGCCATCGTGATTTGCCGACCAGATATAGTAAGTTAGACTGTTTCACTGGCTTTGTTGTTTTGAAGAATGACTCCATAGAAGCAGTAACATACCTGTCTTATATACTAACTACTTATAGTTCCAAACCACTTTGTAATGTTTTAGAGACAGACTAGTAGTAATGTGTACTTAGATAAATCAGAGAGAGAAACAACTGCACGAATACAAACTCATACACACACAAATGTACATATGTACACATAAAAAGTAAAAGTAAAGGACCCTTTTCCACAACTTAAGGCGTATAAGGCTAGACCTATATTTTTATAGACCAATCAGCACAAGATGGGTGATGTGGTCAGCACCACGCCAGCCGCCTTTACTTTCCTGGGATTGCACCCGGTACCCACTCAAAGCTGGGTCTACCTGGGAGCCAAGGTCATTATTAAAAAACAGTCCGGCTCCGCCAGGGAGCGAATCCACGACCTTCTGATCCGCGGCGAGCGTCTAGAGGCTTGGCCACAGCGACTTCCATATGTACACGTACACACACATATGTATCCTGTCACATAAGGCTGGCAATCTAGTCCTCCACTTTATCTGTGCAATATTTTCATATTATGTTATATTTTAATTATTTAGCTTATGTTAAAACTGCAGCCGTTAATACTGTTATTTATAAATTGGTATACCTGGTAAATGTTTGCAGCTTGTCTTCTTTTGCCATTTATTCTCCTTTATATCATAGACCCTCAGCCAAACTCATGCCCAGCTGTCCTTATTTTGCCTTCTCTCACACCTCACCTCATGCCCTCCCATTATTATTCATCTGTCTTAAATTTTTCTCTCCATATGTTTCTGTCTCCTCTACCTCCTTTGCCTTGTGGGTTCCAGTAAAAAGATATTCTAATTATACTATTATGTTTAAAGAAAATGTATGATGTACCCAGCTTCTGCATCTTTTCCTCAGCTCTTGATCGTTGAAATTTTAGTTCTTTCCATGCTGTGTTTTGGCGATTCTATTGTAAATTTATTATCTTAGAATTAGGGAGAAGAAAAATGGAACAGTATAACTGTTTATTTTGTTTGTTGATCGGTTATAATGTGAGCAAGCGTGTGTGCAGTCAACACTTCCACACGGACTGGATAAAGATTACATTCAGCTTGTATCAGAGAGAATCACACCCACACTACTGACATTGTTAACAGATATTTCTGGAAAATTCTTCAGATCAATGACCAGATGTGGAACAGATGCAGTACCATGGACACAGATGACAGTCCAGTTAGAAACAAAGTCAGGAAAGTAGAAGGGAATATGACACCAAAGGTATTGAGCTGATGCTTGCAGGCTTCTTCACCCAAAGGCATGATTGGACTGTTTCTTCGTGACTAAAGGGGATTTGAATTGGTCACTTTTCTGTTTTGCTCAGGACATAAATCAAAATGCTGGAGGGTTTGGGCAAGGTTCACCAGCAGGTGCTCAGGTTGCATTATAGATTGGTGAGATAATGCGTAAGGATGAGACATTGTAATGAAAGTCGTTACCTGCCAATTGATAAACAGCCATTAATGAGATCTCCAGCCTCAAGCATTTAAAGCAGAAAGGAGAACGCCTTCTAGATATGTCAGGTCATTTTGTGTGCTCACTGCAGCTGTGAGTTTGGACATGTATTTAGCCCTCAAAAGTTAGGAGATGACCTTGAGAATTATTATTGTATTGTAGAAATATTAAATAGTGATAGACAAGAATGAGTAGTAGTTGCATGACACGAGAAAAAGTTGAGTGATAGTAGTGGTGGTGCTTTGCTAACAAAAAAAAAAAAAAAATAAAAATTTATGTTCAACCAGCATTCCTGAAAGGAGAGCTTTAGGTTATAATTGTGACTAGGTTATGTGCACCATATAGAATGGCTTAGTATTGCACGCCACCAAGAGCCCTGAAAAGGACTTGCAATGTTGATGCTATCAAAGGAGACAGACTGACCCAAATACTGTCCCAACAGAAGAAGTTGTCTACTGGCCAGCCAATGGGCGACCTGGTCGCCGATGAGTGACAGTGTTTTAGTCATGCTTTATAATGCTGCTGACTACATGTGGATATAGCAGCATTAGCTAAAACGGTTCCAAATTGCTATATATGAGACATGAAAAAATCTCAATCGATGAGATGTTGAACTAGTCAACTTTCTAATACCACAATCACCAACAATAAAATGGATATTGCACTCAACACAAACAGACAGTGATACAATTACAAACAAGAATTTAAATAAAAATCACTTAGCTTTACTGTGAGACCTGTCAGGAAAATCTCCGTTAAATACCACAGAGCCATTGGCAGTCCCTATGAAGACATTCTGTCAACAGATGGTCACATTGAGTGAGTGTTGTCATAGTTACACTTACACATGAGCAATAATGCTTGGGGCTTACTATCCCAGCATAGTGGTGATCACAGCACCATAGATATAAAAAGATGTGTCCACACAGGCATTCATGTAGGTGGGGCATTAAGACCCAGGTTTTGCAAGGACGTATACTTGGGAAATAACAATAAATAATAGGGAAGAATGTTCTAGACTGGAAGAATGAAAAGAAAATATGCGTTTGATAACCAAAGAAAACTTGGGAGTACAGCCAAGGAAGAGAATATAAAAGATACATTTCACAGCATACACATAGTTGAGACAGAGTCCATAATGAGATTTTCATGTGTTTTAAGATGAGAAGTTGTACAATAGCATGATGTGTCTGTGGTTGGGGCGGCCAGAAGAGCGAGAGCAGTACCCTCAACATCTGAAGCGGTAAAAGAGGAAGTGATGATGAAGAAAGATACTGTGTTAACACAAAACTGCCACTTTGTTTCTTTCCTCTAGGAAACATTTTTAGCCAGAGTCAATGGAGAAGATTTGAACATAACTACAAAAGACCTTCACAAAGGGAGCAAAGCTTCAAAGTGAGTTGCTTTTGGTTATATTTTGATTCATTCACTTAACAGCTTTCTAAATCTTGGGATCACACACTTTAGTTACTACAGGGAAAGCTTTCAACTGATTTCCTTAACTGGTATTGGCTAGCAGTAGGTAATTACTGAATGTAGCAGGTTTCTCATTTCCTATATGTTTCCTTCATAACTGTTTGGTTCTTCTGTGGCGTGTGCCTCTGACTGCTCAGATGGGTTAGGCGTTGCGAATGCACTTTGTATTTCCGGGTTTGATGCCAGCTACGGATGATTTGTCTTGCGTTGGTTCAACAGTGGTACCGAGAGCTGACCACTCAGAAGCAGTGGCAAACTACTTGATGTAAAATTTGCCTAGAAAAACCACAACAGGCAACAAATGCTTGGTTTGGTTATGCAACGTCCTGTAAATTGTATGCAACTAATTTACAAAAAAAAAATTATCATCTGCTTATAAGTTATAGGTCTGCTTTGGTATTTGGTAGTCAAGGTTTGTCTCTGCAAATGGGTAACATCATTAGTGCCTTTTCATGTGTCCCAAAAGGCCCTTCACTATCACATTTCAGAGCCAGCAAGTTATGGTAAAATCCATAAGCATGTACACAAAGTAAATGTATAAGGAAATCATTAGAGGTGCCAACACCAACAGTCAGCCACTAGAATTGCAGATCGTTATTTATAAGATGTCAGTGCAGCTATAAAATTATTGCCTAAAGCGCATCGCCAGCCTCAAAGCAGGCTGGAAATTGCCATTTCCTAAGAATAACATAACAGATTGCTAGTACAGACGAAAAGGCATTCTACACACAATACACATCTCACAGTGTTGCACCAAGCACTTAATGTAGTAGATTTAGCAAGGAAACTACATTCCAGTCCATCTTTGGAAACTGCATTAACAAACCTTGGCCGAAAGCAAATAATTTAAGATTGTTACAGACTACCTTCCTATTTGCCGTGTTGGAACAGAAATCTTCCTCATGCTTCAAAATGAGACAATTTTTTGTTGGAAAATCTGGGCAGTTGGCCAGGATTCATTTACAACAAAAGTTTATAATACCCATGTTTGCTATCTAATTATGAAACTGACCTGGGTCATACTAACACTACTAACGCATCCTGGCTAAAAGGATTTGGCCCAGATCTAGTATCTACAAAGATCGTAAATGGGCCGATCCATTGTGAAGCTCTCTTAATAAATGACTCACATCTGTGGTTGTTTCATGTTAATCCAATCTCTAGCTATGGACATTCTTGATTTCTCATTATTATTGAATTAAATTAGAGGTCTGCTGTGCATTATTATTGAATTAAATTAGAGGTCTGCTGTGCATTATTATTGAATTAAATTAGAGATCTGCTGTGCATTATTATTGAATTACATTAGAGATCTGCTGTGCATTATTATTGAATTAAATTAGAGATCTGCTGTGCATTATTATTGAATTAAATTAAGATCTGCTGTTCATTATTATTGAATGAATTAGAAGTCTGCTGTGCATTATTATTGAATTAAATTAGAGATCTGCTGTGCATTATTATTGAATTAAATTAGAGATCTGCTGTTCATTATTATTGAATGAATTAGAAGTCTGCTGTGCATTATTATTGAATTAAATTAGAGATCTGCTGTGCATTATTATTGAATTAAATTAGAAGTCTGCTGTGCATTATTATGGAATTAAATTAGAGATCTGCTGTGCATTATTATTGAATTAAATTAGAAGTCTGCTGTGCATTATTATGGAATTAAATTAGAGGTCTGCTGTGCATTATTATTAAATTAAATTAGAGATCTGCTGTGCATTATTATTACGAACATCTATCAGCCTCTCACATGAATCAAGGATACCAAAGAATCCACTTGAGAAAGGCTGGTATAATTGCTGGCTTATGAAGTTGTGAAACTCTGCCTATTCTCAGACTATGTCAGATTTATCAAATGTGTTATTTCTAGATTTGGCAGACGTGTAAGCAGAGCCTTCTCCTTCAACAAAACACCTAACACACTCAAGCGAGCAGTTTCTGGCATGGTCCACGGCCTAAGTCCATTTGTTAAGGACCACAAACAGTTTGCTAGGATGGGAGCAGTTCGCAGGCTGGCCAGTACTATTGATTTGACGGTGAGAATTTGCTTTTCTGTTAGTATTCTTGTTAATTAATTACTAACTGTTTATGTGTCCTCTTTTCCTGTTTGTTTATAACTAAAATAAATCATGCAGTGCTATGCCGGCAGAAGCATAGTTACCAGGAAGAGCTTACCATTAGGTATAGAACAAAGAGAAACAGCCTGGTCCTCCTGGCTTGGTGTTGAAGCATATATCTAAGCCTCACATTCGAATAGATTTACATGCCAGTCACCTAGATGTATGAAGGCTGGTGATCTGCAGCAGTTGACCTTGAGTGTTTAGAAGGCTGAAGAAGAAGATATTCAACAGTAACAGTTTCCACCTGTGTGTTACCAAGACCATTCTTCTTCTTCAGCATTTCCAACCCTTGAGGCTCATTACTTTAGATATCCCCCGCCTCCATGCATCTCTCTGGTTGCGCTTTTCTTTCCAGTTGCTGACACCTTTGGAGGGTCTGTCTGGATATTATCTCACCGTCTTCTTCTTGGTCTCCCTCCTGATCTACGGCCATTCAGTTCCCTTGTGTATACAGTTTGTAGCTCTTTGATATTATCTCAGTATGCCGCAGCCATTTCAGTCTATTAGCCCTAATGATGCCAGTGATCAGTGGTGATTTAAACAGATTATGAATTTCGTGGTTGCTTCGCAATCTCTATTCCTCGCTATTAGCATTTTTGATGGGTCCAAAGATGGGTAACACTCAGCAATTTAATAAGCCATCATCTCTTTTAGTTGTGCTCCAAGTTTCAGAGCCATATATAACGATTGGTCTTATCATTTTATATATATTTTTTTAATCTTAGTGTTTTGAGATAGAGACTTTGACTTTAGCAGATATTAAAGGGCATAGTATACTTTATTTCCAGATTGTATTATAGATTGTATTTCTTCTCTCAGCATATTGCAGCAGTTAGAGTTTGCATCCAAGTACTTGTATGTTTTTGTTCATATGATTTTCATATTATTGACTTGTATGTGGCCAGAGTTTATATCCTTTCTCTGTTTTGTTATTATCATGTATTATGTCTTATTTTGATTGATACCTAGTCCCATTTTGTGAGCTGCTTCTTTTGTTTGTTTGTTTGTTTGTTTGTTTTGTTTTAGTATCCAGAAGTAATGAGTTGTTAACCCTTAGACTCTGTATTATGGATATCGCAACCTTTCGGCCTTGATTCCATTTTAAATACCGTAAATCTGGGAGAAATGTGGCTTTTCTGCCCACCCCCGGGAGTGAACCCGGACCACAAGGAGTTCGTCACCCGCTCACCGCGCAATCCGGTTTAGCCAACTACGCTAGAGTGACGGGCAGCTGCTTCTTTTAAGAGAGTCAATGTTTTTACCGTCTGTAGTTCAATTTCTCAAATGGTATCAGAATCATCTGCATGGCCAAGTATTCTTGTAGTTTCTCCTATAGTAGATTCTTCTTTCAATTTACTTTTAATTTTCTCTAGGGGAAGCAAAGAACAGTTAACACTGTGGTCATTAAAACATATCAAAGGTGATTAAGCAAGGTTGCACCTAATGTGTTTCCTGAGGTCACAAATCAAAGAATAGAAGCGCTGTTTTTACCAAGCTTGTCATAAGAAAAATCATAAAAAGGTATCAAACAATGTTAATTACAGAGGTAAAGTCAAGAGGATTGACTTTATGGCACCGGGTTTTATCCCATATTGCTCAGCCTTTCTCTGCAGAACCGCTAGCCGCCTATAGAGAGTTATGCACAGAGCACAAACTCCACAAACAAATTTCCTCCTGTGAACTGAATGGTGAAGCCGTGACAGGCACTGATGACCTTTAGAGCGCCAGGCAAATGGCTTCATCACAGAGACTCCCTATTACAATTACAAACATGTCATAAAAGATGTCTAAGGGGGGGGGGGGGGGTGGGGGGGGGGGGGGGGGGGGGGGGGGGGGGCTTGGGGGGGGGGGGGGGGGGGGGGGGGGGCTGACTACCCATCATGTGAAAAGATCCTGTAAGAAAACCAATCAAATATAAATGTTAAACAGAAAACAGGAATTATTTAGAATATTGAGAATACGAAGGAGACTCTTATAAATCTATCCAAAATGATACAGAAGAAAACAACTTTAAATCACTGACCTTACATCACACCCTCTTTCTAATCTGACATTAACTCACATAGCACCCACATCAGACACCGACTTCACATAGCACCCCTAACAGACACTGACCTCACATAGCACCCACATCAGACACCGATTTCACATAGCACCCCTAACAGACACTGACCTCACATAGCACCCACATCAGACACCGACTTCACATAGCACCCCTAACAGACACTGACCTCACATAGCACCCACATCAGACACTGACCTCACATAGCACCCACATCAGACACTGACCTCATATAGCACCCACATCAGACACTGACCTCACATAGCACCCACATCAGACACTGACCTCACATGGCACCCATATCAGACACTGACCTCACATGACACCCACATCAGACACTGACCTCACATGGCACCCACATCAGACACTGACCTCACATGGCACCCACATCAGACACTGACCCCACATCAGACACTGACCTCACATGGCACCCACATCAGACACTGACCCCACATGGCACCCACATCAGACACTGACCTCACATGGCACCCATATCAGACACTGACCCCACATGGCACCCACATCAGACACTGACCTCACATGGCACCCATATCAGACACTGACCTCACATGGCACCCACATCAGACACTGACCTCACATGGCACCCACATCAGACACTGACCTCACATGGCACCCACATCAGACACTGACCTCACATGGCACCCACATCAGACACTGACTTCACATGGCACCCACATCAGACACTGACCTCACATGGCACCCACATCAGACACTGACCTCACATAGCACCCACATCAGATGCTGACCTCACATGGCACCCACATCAGAGGCTGACCTCACATGGCACCCACATCAGACGCTGACCTCACATGGCACCCACATCAGACACTGACCTCACATGGGACCCACATCAGACACTGACCTCACATGGCACCCACATCAGACACTGACTTCACATGGCACCCACATCAGACACTGACCTCACATGGCACCCACATCAGACACCTCACATAGCACCCCTAACAGATACTGACTTCACATAGCACCCCTAACAGATACTGACTTCACATAGCACTCCTATCAGACACTGACCTCACATAGCACCCACATCAGACACTGACCTCACATAGCACCCACTTCAGACACTCACCTCACATAGCACCCCTATCAGACACCTCACATAGCACCCCTAACAGACACTGACCTCACATAGCATTCTTATCAGACACTGACTTCACACACATTTTTCCCTCTCTAGTTATATTTTTTTTTTTACCCTGTGATACAACAAATGTGAAGATCGTGGCTTTTTTGTGTGTGACCATTATTTCATTTTGTTGCAGGAAGCGAATGATGATGATAGTGACACAGTGAGTTTAGGGGCATTTTCACTGCAGGTAAGATTTCACCAGGAAATATTTCTGTATATTGTAACTCTGTACAGCACTAATATTGTCTGACATATAAAAATGGAGGAAGCTAATAGCACTCGCCCTTGTTACAGTGAGTGTGCAGCTGCTTGCAAGTAAAACTTGCTTAGTATGTTGCTATCAAGCCCAAACATTGAGACCCTATACATTTTTTATGACTGTTTTATCAAAATTTTGTGGGATACTGAATTGAAAAAGAAAAAAAATTATAAGTGTGATGACAGTGTTTAAACATTACACACAGCGACTTCTATGTTCCTATATATCATGAAAAGACAAGTATTGAAAAACACTATGACAGCTGAAAAGATCAGTGGAAAAAAAAAAAACCCTTAGAAGGTTAGTTGCATATCCTTTACAGGGCGTTGCAGAACCAACCCCAACAGCCCCTGGCTGTGTGGTTTTTCTAGGCAAAATTAAGTTCAGTAGTTTGCTTTCTGGACGGTCGGCTTTCTTGATACCACTGATGAAACCAACGCAAGGCCCATGGCCTGTAGCTGGGACCGTACCTGGCATTCTGGAATTACGAAGCGTTCGCATCGACTTAGCCACAGAGCTGACTACCCTTAGAAGAGAAACAGAATATCATCAATGGTATCCATGCAGAAAACACTAAGATCTATGGACGGACATAAATGCTTACACCATCTGGCAAGGCACATAATGATGGTGATGATCACAATTTCATGTAGCAGGGTTAAGGTAGTGTATTTTTTATTTCAGACAAGATGATGAGGTCTCACTTATTTCCCTCCAGGTATTGAGTTTGAGTGTAATACTTCTTTCTTCATCACTTCCTCTTACTGCTTCTGGTATCGAGGGAGGTATACTGTTCCATTGCTTGCTCTTCTGGTCCCCTCCACCATAGACACATGCTGTTGTAGAGTTTTCCCAGTGTTATCTTTCCATCTTGTTCTTGGTCAACCTTGTGCTCTGCGTCCTTTTCTTTTGGTGTATACCTTATTTGCTATGGCGTCACAGGGCATTTGTGTAATTTAAACCTGTATATGCTGTGCTTAGTCTTGGCCTGGTTACTGTAGTAATGATCTCGCATACCTGCTGGTTACTAAGCTTGGAGAGGGCAAGGAGAGCCTTTCTTCTGTCGGATGTAATCTTTGTTCAGGGCTCAAGTGTTGCTGAACACCAGGGTTTCAGATTTTAGAGTTAAACCTCGGCCTTCAATAGCTTTCCCCAGTCACACCCCTACACCTTGGGCTAATATAAGTAGTGAATTACAACATATAAGAGGAGGGGGGGTTGGGTGTGGGTGTGTTGAAGCATGCGCAGACACTCAATTTTCATAAAACTGTATTTCCTCATGAAACATATCCAAGAAACAAGCTGAATTCATAATCAGATTTAATTACTGTTGATCACTGGCATCTTAAGGTCTAACAGACTGAAATGGCTGGAGCATATTTAGAGAATGGCAGAGAAACAAAAATTCTACACAATGGGGCTGAATGGCCATAGATAAGGTAGACCAAGAAGACAGAGAGATAGTATCCAAGCAGACCTACAAACACTTGGGGTCACCAACTAGAAAGAGAACTCCAACCACAGATAAATGGAGGCGGGAGATATCTGCAACAATGAACCTCAAGGGCTTGGAATGTTGAAAAAGAAGTTAGTAATTGTACATTTCTGACCTATTTGATAAAAGGAAAAGTGAAAATATTTGGAAAGACTTGATGCCACCATGCATCTGTATATTTAAAACAAATACACCGTTTGTTTATCTCTTGCAGGATGGAGGTTCACCAGGCAGTACAAAACATGGCTCCCCACATCGGTTAGCTGCACCAAGTCACATATTTCTAACACCAAAGTCGGCCATCAAGTCCAGCAAAACACCACTCAAGTGGGCTACCATTGGGCCTAGCTCTGCCAGTAAATCCAAGTACTTGTGAGGTCAACACTGTCTGCTGATTGCAGCCTAATAACTTTTGACTTCAGACTGATTTGAAATAGGATGTTGAATGTGCTAAAGCCTTCACAGAATGTGTCTTCCTGTTAGTTACAAATGGCCAGCAGCAGTTCTGAACAGAGATTTTTATGTGAACTGTTGACTGTTGGACGTGCACAAGTGTCGGTAGTTCAGGTTGAAGATGCTGTTAGGACCGGTGTTTAGAAACTCATATACAGTATCTGAATAGCAAACCTTGAAATGTGGCCAAATAAATATTTCTTTCTGTCTTTATCTGTCCAGCTGTTATTATATGCCAGACCCATGCAGACACAGTAAACAGTTCAGGCAATTATTACCACTACATCCTCTTACTGACATTTACTGTATCATCATAGACTGACACCCACCCCTCTCAGTCAATGACATCGCATACCATCTCTGTCTGATATTGGCCTCATACACTGTCTCAGTAACCGGCCAGTTCAGATAGTGACCTACAGGTCCCCAAAGAGACTAATATGCACATATGGTGACAATAAATATATGAACTAAACCAGTAATGTTGGTTTAAGATCAAATTTTATAAAGTGTCAATTGAAAGTGTCCTCCTTGTTCATGTTAATTTTTTTTTTAAACCCATGGTGTTTTTGTGCAGACCAGGACAGTTAACTGCAGAAAACATGTAAATGTTTCACTTAGGTGTTACTAGTTCATGAAATTGTTGCCGCCTTTCTGTTTTCCTAGACAGTAAAGTTATATTGTGTTAGATCACAGCCAGTGGTGAGTGTAATTGGCATGACCTGCTGTCATTAAAATAAAAAGTCTTCCACAATTAGAGAGTGTGAAACTTTTTAGGACCGTCGTTGCCATTGCATATATTTAACAGGCTTCTGAAATGTTCAGCACTTAATCTCTATGCAGTCATGTTCTCTGTTATTCCTGTCGCCTCCCTGATTTTCTCCCTTCTCGCAACAGGCTTTGTGGCGCTCTATTACCAAGAATCAAATTCAATACCATTAATATCTCGCTTGCACATATCTTTATATTGTACAAGAGGCACACATCGACATCTTCTACCCTGTTAGTGAAGTACATTGGTTTATTCACCATTCACATTATTTACATAGCTGTACACAATTGTCTAAACATGTCATGATTTGTTTTTGTCTAGCTTATTTCTGTAAATATGTGTGTTCAGATTAATTTTTACAGACAGTTGTGTGGGTTCATACCTAATTCCCTACTGATGTTTTTTGGTGATATCTTGCCATACTACCTGAGTCTTGTCTCAACCTTTCTGCTTATTTCAGTTTTTCATTTGTAGCAAAGTATGTAAATTTTGCACATCTCGTAACACAACCATTCTCACAGAAAATACTAATAACTGCCATAACAAAATATGAGCACATTTGCTGGTGCTGTCTTTAATTTTGTTGTAGGTTACCACATAGCATCCTGCAGACAATTTTTCTTCTTCAGGAATTAAATAGCTGGAATTTCTAGTCATATGCTATTGTAGTATGTTTGCTTAACTACCTTAAATTAACTAAACTTTTGTGGTAGAGTGAAAACATATGCCACCTGTAGATATCTCCCATTGCTGTTCCGCTAACCCTCTCAGACAAATAAAAATGCCATTATGCCAAATATAAACAGCTCTCACATGGATACCAGAGGGAAAGAGAAAAAAGGGGTGTCCAAAAACAACATGGAGACGAACGATGGAAAGTGACCTGAGTGCGGCATCTTTGACATGGAAAACTGCACTGAAAAATTGCACAGGACAGGAAAGCATGGAAGTCCTCTCTGAAGCCTAATGCGCCACTAGGCATAAAGAGAATTGATGATGCTAAATATACAGGCCCTAAGTCCTTATATTCTACACCTGCGGACGTCTCGTTTTCCCACAACCTTTACCTAGTTATCCGTTACCTTTGATTTTTTTTTTTGTTGCTCACAAAACCTTCTAATTGATTTCCTTTTTGTTACTCTTGTGAACTAGTCTTTTTAGAAGCTCATAAGTTTCCTCACCTATCTGCTAATTGTACTCAGCCGTAGTAAAACAGGTAACCCGCCTTCTCACAATGAAACTCTAACTGGTAACTGGTGTGGGTAAAAAAAACGAAAAACTTCTTGCTTCTTTCAACCGGCTCCTAGAATGAGCGTTGGTTATATCGAAGCGGTGTTTTGTTGTCTGGAGTTTTGTTCTCCAGTTATAGTCGTTTCTGTTGTGGCGATTTCATTTCTGCCTGAGGTTAGTTGCTTCTGTCAGAGTGAGGTGGCTGGGCGGCGGACATATGTCATCTGGTTGTGGGCTGTGAGGTTTCTCAGGGCTGGTGGGCGTGGTTGTTCATCTGTCATGGCGGCTTGTGAGGTTTTCATTGGTTGCTGCATGTTGGCTTTCAACTTGCTACTTCACGTGGGCGTCGTTTCCGTTTGAGTGGGCTGCTATCTTCGTTTTGTTGTTTCTTATACTTTCGAGTTGAAGATGCCGGGTGGCTTCTTTGAGTTGCTTCACCTCCTTGTGTATTGCTGCGAAGTCGTCTTTCAGGCATTCCTTGAGGATGTACAGGTCTTGTGTGCACTTCTTCTCTAGATCCCGGTTTCACGTGTGCGTCGTGGATCTGCCTTTTTCTGTCTTTTTCTTTCTTCGCGTTTCTCTGGCTTCTATCACTCTGTGCGTGGCTTTCGATTACACAGCTGAGTTTGTCGCATTCTTTGTTTGCCTCGGTTACCTCTGCTTTTGTTTTTGTCAGGTCTTTCTTGATGGTGGCTATCTCGGAAAGTATACTTTTCTGGTTGTCTTTCAGTTCTTTGGCGGCTACTGCATTTGTTTCCTTCAACTTCTTGAGCTCGGTTAGATTTGCCATCAATTCTGTTTTGAACTTCGCCATTTCTGTGTTTTCCTCCTCGAGTCTCCTTTGGGTCTCGAGAGATGCCTGCAGGATGTTTCTCAGGTCTATCATCTCGTCCCTGTCTTGGGTCCTGAGTGCCACGATTCTTGCGTTCTCTTCTCGCAGGGATTTGATTTCGTCTCTCAGCTGCGTGATGTCGTTGTTGTTCACAGCTGTCGGACTGGGCGCCTGATATCTTTGTTTCGGCTCTGGGTTGTGGGTGGTCCTGGTGGTGGTGTTCGCCATCGCTCTCTTGACTTCTTTCAGGTACGGGCAACCCATGTACCTGGCGCTGTGTGCACCGGAGCAGTTGCTACATCTCCTGCTTGCGTTCGGCTTTTTAAAGTCCGGGTCCACTTTTGCCAGAGGGCATTCCCTGAATAGGTGAGGGCCGGAACAGTAACGGCACGAAGGGCTGCTGCGGCATGACGAGGCAGAGTGCCACGCCTTGTTGCAGCGAGAGCACTGCAAAACTTCTGTGGTGTAGGCTCCCGGTTGCTGCTGCTGCCTGCGTGGGCGGGTGTTGCTCGGTTCCTGCGCCACGACTGGGGCGGCTTCTAGGTAGACGGGTGCCTCGATAGGGCCCACATCCAGGGCTGGAGGCGTCTGGGTGTGAGAGGCCTGGTGTCTCCTCCGGGTCGTCCGTCGGTACTGGCCCTGTCGGCACCGTAGGGGCTGGTGCAGCGACAGGCTCATCTTCCTTCTTGGCAGAGGTCGACCTGGTTTCCCGGCGCTGTGTCGGGATCTTCTTGCCACGGGCCATGGTTTCGTGTGGCTGTGGCTATGGCTGGCTGGTAGAGGCGGTACTTCAAAGGCTGCTGTCGAAAGCTAGGTCCCTTCGGGGTAGGCAAGGCTTGTTAGAGTATTCTGAAAAGAACACCCAAGCGTGCTTACACAACACTTTTATATAATCTGACATGAACTTCAGCATGATGGTCTTGCTTCAAATCCCATTTGAAAAGATTTATCTTCTCACCTGCCTAATTAGTCATTGACATCCCAACCACAGTGCTTGCCTGCCACCTCATTCTTCTTCTGTCTCTTTAACTCCAGATGGAGCATAGGCCTTCAACCATTTCTCAGCAAGCTATTTATACCTTTGTTAATAATTAACTGGATTTTGCAGCTAAAGTTATCAATGGGAATGAGAAAGTGTGTTACTTGAACACACTGTTTGTTGTATTCCCCCCCCCCCCCCCAATGATGTGTAAGGCAGTTCAATGCTTTTTACATCAGGAAAGAAAATTAGTCACAGTTAGCTGGATGATATGTGTATTTTCTACAAGATCCTGATCTCATTGTTTTCTTTCCCGCAGTATTTAATGTCAACACTATGTCCCTAATGAAAATATTGGTGGTTAGTGTACTAGCATGCCAAGCTAGAGGTTCTGGGTCGATCCCTGGCAGAGGCAGGATTATTTTTTCCAACCAGTACGGCTCCGGGGGTTGACCCAGACCCTTTAAAAAATGTATACCAGATAGTTTTCACGATTCTTGGGACACAGGAAACTGTTCTAATCACCTTGTGTTTCATGACCGAAAACAGAGCTTTGCAAATCGTGTGACACATTAGTGTCTTGGCTGCAGCGTGAAGGTGTGCTGCGCGAACGTAAAGCATTAAACAGACTAATTTGAAGATGTATGGTTGTGCAAATGCTCTGGTTTGCTAGTAGACTGATTACTGTGTTGTAACATTATGTTATGTCAACATGAACAGTTTGGAAAGGTCTGGCCTAGAATAAGGGAAGGCACCCCATCAGTGACTGCCATGGGACTTCCTGTGATATCAGCAGCAGTACTTCCCACAGTCCATGGAAATCCTACTTTATTATATCTAATTAATTAAATAACAGCTGCGGTCTCAGCTAAACTAGTCAAAAATTATTTTTAAAACAAAATGTTTCCCCTGAATAAGGACTATGGTAAGTAGCAGAATGAAAAACTATAAACAGATGAGTCTACTAAATTAGCAGAATTAAAAACCATAATTAATAGATGAGTACTAAATTAGCAGAATTAAAAACCATAATTAATAGATGAGTACTAAATTAGCAGAATGAAAAACCATAATTAACAGACAAGTGTACTAAATTAGCAGAATGAAAAAGCACAATTAACAAATGAGTGTACAAATACTTAATCAAGATAGCCAGGTTCGAATTCTAGTATGGTAATGGATTTGTTTCTATCCTGATAAACTCCTAACCTGCACAGTCTGTGAACGGCCGTGCTAGTCACGCCGCCCTAAATCTTCATGCTCAGAATCTTTCCGTTTTTTTTTTCTTTGTTTCAAAATGTACATTTCTTCTCTAATTTGTTGTAGCATTTCACTGTAAATACAGACATAACTGTAAACTTCTCTTGACATGTTAGTCAAAGAAAGGGCACAAAAAAAGCTGAACGATGAAAAGGAAAGGTTGTGTGTAATAAGTGAAAATAACAGCAGAAATGTCAGTAGGAAAAGTTTATGTAATAAGTGAAAATGGCAGTAGAAATGTGAGTGAGGTGGTGTGGGAGGGTAAACTCTAGGCCTGAAGGTTCAATCGTTTTATCCACTTGTCTGACATGTCCATTTGCTGTCTTGTGACTGTCCCAAAAATGGAGAATTTGGTTGATGTTTGTACAACTGATTGGGACAGTCACATTAACCCCACACATTAGAGTCTAACTGGGCAATCAGTAATATATTCATATAAAGTCTGCCAGTTGTACTGGTGTATATATCTGTCATTATCTATATAACTCCATTAAAATTGCCCTAATGACATGTATGTATAAATTAAATTCCCAGGTGCTAACATGTACAATAAATTGTCAGGATTGGTTGTGATCACACTTAATGGACATGATTTTCTAGAGATGGTTCCACCAAATGTATACAACAGATAACATCTGAGAGAGCTAACAAACGGAACCATCCACATAGGATGTCCATGCTTGTGTGTGATAGTCTCAGCATTATTCTGTACCTTTAGCAAGCCAAATTTCTCATCTAAAAATGGCATTCAATACTTGCATGTATCTGGAATCTGTGTGTATATATTCTCAGACGGTTGTGTTTGATGTACAGATATTTATTCCTGCCCCGGTCAATAATTAACAATGTAACTGATGTCATTACCCGAGTCATGATTGTTGGCAATACCCATGTGTATATTTCAGCCATAATTATGACCGTTTGTTGTAACTATCATTAAAGCTAGTAGTGTGCATAACATTCTGTTGTTTCATTGTTTCTGGAATAAGTGTTAATGCTGTACTTATGTTCCCTCCAGTCTTTTATAAGGTCACATGTAACTACTGTAGGCATATCATGCTAGCCCCATATTTTATATAACAAACAGATATTGGAGTATTTCTGTCACATGCCACTAATGAAATCATGCAGGAGATAGCAGAAGATGAGCTTCAAATGAGTTGTTGGGTCAAGCTCTACAGGGGAAAATTTCTTTAAAAAAATTTTTTTTTATTACAGATATTATATAATCATCATCATCCTTTGTGTGCTGTTAGACATCACATAGGGCTCGCATTCGATTCCTCCACTCTCCTCTTCTGCATACAACTCTCGATTTCTTACATGGAGTTCAACCCAGCATTTTCAGACTCTTGTAATAATGATGTTCTTAATGTTTTCCTTAGACGTCCTCTTTTTCTCAGACTGTTTGTTTCTCATTTCGATGCTTCTTTTGTAATTCTTTGCTCATTTCGTCTCGAGAGTGCTCATTTTTTAATTTATCCAACTTTATGTAAAAAAAAAAAAAAAAAAAAAAAATCTCATTTATTTATTTTCAAAAGCATTTAACTTTTATTCCATACCTTTTGTGGTTCTTCAAATTTTGCTGGCATATGTTAGAAATGAAATAATATTAGAACTAAAGATTCATAATTTTGTCTTAAAGCTGAATAATATTAAATGTATAGCATAAATGGAAGTCAGCATGGCGAAGCAGCTAGACGCTTGCAACAGACTGTAAGGTCGTAGGTTCGCTCCCTGGCAAGCCAGACTTTAAAAAAAAAAATGACCTTGACTCCCAGGTCGACCAAGCCTTGAGTGGGTACTGGATGCAGTCCTGGGAAGTAAAGGCAACAACATCGATTGTTCTATAAGATATAGGTCTAGCACTATATGCCCTATACGCCTTAAGGCCTGGAAAAAGGGTCCTTTACTTTACTTTTATTACTATAGCATCAATAACTGAATTCTAAGTGTTGTAAAGTGACTGCTAAGAGCAATATAAGTTGTCCATTCTTTGAACAACTTTAGGTGTTACTGATGAAAACCAAAAACTCAGAAATTTATAACCAGTGACAGATAGGTGTTTTTAAATTACATTATGCAAAACTTTATAACAAGGAGTTAAATCAGTTAAAATGAACACACATTTTACTGTTCTTTCATGTAATGTGCGACTACTCAACATCTGTCAACTAGATCATTAGCACTAAATCAATAAGATAAGCATGTGGCCACATTTTACTAGACCTCTAGAAAAAACTGCTAATTTTGGACAATAACTGCATTATGATATATACCTGTGTGAAACAAAACAAAGAATAATGAGATCATCACAAACAAAAGAGCACAAATGTCCCCTTTGAACATTCTCACAGAAGATGGAAGACTTAATAAAGAAACACAATGGCACGCATTGAGTTATACCATGTGTCACCATTACTCTAGCACCAAGACATGAGAACAGAGTGCTAGTCAAGTGATGGACAATATACAGCATTTTTTACATCACTGCTTCAGTGTGTGGCTAAAGCAGCTTCTCTGATCCCATAACATTTCTAACAACACTGCAACAGTGTGTGACTAAAGCGGCTTCTCTGATCCCATAACATTTCTAGCAACAGTGTGTGTGTGGCTTCTCTAATCCCATAAAATTTCTAACAACACTGCAACAGTGTGTGTGTGGCTTCTCTAATCCCATAACATTTCTAACAAAACTGCAACAGTGTGTGGCTAAAGCGGCTTCTCTGATCCCATAACATTTCTAACAACACTGCAACAGTGTGTGTGTGGCTTCTCTAATCCCATAAAATTTCTAACAACACTGCAACAGTGTGTGTGTGGCTTCTCTAATCCCATAACATTTCTAACAACACTGCAACAGTGTGTGGCTAAAGCGGCTTCTCTGATCCCATAACATTTCTAACACTGCAACAATGTGTGGCTAAAGCTGCCCCTCTAATCCCATAACATTTCTAACATTGCAACAGTGTGTGGCAAAAGCTGCCCATAACATAACATACTGAGGCACCTTACTGGCCTTCATAAGCAGATCCTTATTCAAGTGTTAGAGATCATGCCTAATTTACAGAGGACCACCGGGAAGCCCTGGGGTACAAGAGCAATGACTAGAATTAAAGCAAGGCTCCACAACCTTTTTAAATTCAAATGTCTACATTTATTTTAAAAGTTACATTTCAGAATTACCGACATTACAATTTCAAATTTATTAAAATTTTAACTTTCCCATGTGGGTTCTAGGGCCCTATTGTGAGGAAAACAAGAATAGACCAATCCCTCCCCAACAAGCATGTCGAAGTAAAGTAAAGGTCCCTTTTCCACGCCTTTTCCAGAGCTTATAGGGCTAGACCTGTATTTTTATAGACCAATCGGCACAATATGGGTGATGTGGTCAGCATCACGCCAGCCCCCTTACTTCCCACTCAAGACTGGGTCAACCTGGGAGTTAAGGTAATTTTTGAAAACAAAAGTTCGGCTCCACCAAGGAGCAAACTCACGGCCTTCCGATTCTCATGCAAGCGTCTAACGTCTATTGACAGACTAATAATTTACAGTTTAGTAGTTCAGTAAACAGTTATAAGACAGAGAAGACACTGGACACATCCTGAGAAGAAACCAGCAGAGAATCACCAAATAGGCATTAAAATGGGAAATAAAGGTGGCAAGAACGCCCAGAAGAAACTTTAAGACCATCACTGATTAGAGTGGCTAAAGCTAGGCCCAAAAGAAACCCTAAGACTGTCACTGATTAAAGTGACCAAAGCTAAGCCCAAAAGAAACCCTAAGACCAACACTGATTAGAGTGGCCAAAGCTAGGCCCAAAAGAAACTAGGAGACCAACGCTGATTAGAGTGGCCAAAGCTAGGCCCAAAAGAAACCCTAAGACCAACACTGATTAGAGTGGCCAAAGCTAGGCCCAAAAGAGACCCTAAGACCAACACTGATTAGAGTGGCCAAAGCTAGGCCCAAAAGAGACCCTAAGACCAACACTGATTAGAGTGGTCAAAGCTAGGTATAAAAGAAACCCTAAGACCAATACTAATTAGAGTGGCCAAAGCTAGGCCCAAAAGAAACCCTTAGACCAACATTGATTAGAGTGGCTAAAGCTAGGCCTAAAAGAAACCCTTAGACCAACATTGATTAGAGTGGCTAAAGCTAGGCCCAAAAGAAACCCTTAGACCAACATTGATTAGAGTGGCTGAAGCTAGGCCCAAAAGAAACCTTTAGACCAACATTGATTAGAGTGGCTGAAGCTAGGCCCAAAAGAAACCCTTAGACCAACACTGATTAGAGTGGCTAAAGCTGCTGGACTAGATTCCATCCATGGTATTGAACTGCTTGCACAGAATAGAATGGAATGGAGGAATAGACTGCGAGCCCTATGTGGCACATAATGGCACAACAAGACGATGAACTTTAGTACACATACATTTTAGAGATCATAAAATATTCATCTGGATTGTAATACCACTCAACAGTTCTGAATAACATAGGATACTTGTTTGCTATGAATATTACAACAATATTAGCACACTGCATTCTCTGTAGGAGCCAACAATTGCTGAACTGCTCACAAGTGCCGCATGTGGTCTGTGCACAACGGGTTGAGATCATCGGCTTCAAAGTAAATTATTATCATTGAATATTCTGTAATCATCACACAGAACTAAACCTGCTACCTGAGTATGTGTGTCAAGTAAGACACCTGTAAACAACACAACAATAACACGATGGCAACAAGAGGGAGGATCTGTCCTGAGTGGGGTGTGTCCAGGTCACTGAAATAGTCAGCGGTCACAGGAGAGTCTGAGAGTAGTTTCTGCTGGACCCACTCGTCTACCACCTCCTCAAGGACATCCAAGGGTACAAAGCCAGTCTTGAGGATCTGATGATGGAATTCCTTGACGTCAAACAGAGGACCTGCACAGAAGAGCAGATCAAATTCTTTAGATAGCCATGTGTGACCTTTCACTTCAAGACACATTATAGGGAGATCCATTCACTGTAATACTACCCTTATGTTGGTGTCTAGTAGCCCAACAGAGTAATTGAGAGTATAAGAGTAGTCCAACAGCTAATTTGGAGTTAAAAATCTGCCCAAAGTATTTTAGGATCTTCGCCGGTGCTGAGGGGTTTGTTCACTGCACTGAGATTCTTCAAACTCAAGGCTTGAGCACTTATGGGTTACTACTCTTGTGCCATGATGTTGATCTCTTGTTTAAACCTAAACTTAAACTAAACTTAGGATTATGTTATCTTTAGCAGTTTATCACTCTAAAGAACATGGCTAATCAATCAGGTTCAATCCTAACAATCCCTTTTAGTGCTTGTCTGAGAAGGCTAGAAATCAAATATCAATGAAGGTGACAGAATGAAGGGCACAGAATCCTTTTTCTTATTCTGTAAAAAAGTCAGTCAATACTGATGGCACATGCTTCAGCTAGAGGTGACAACATAAGCTCTGAGCTACTCTGCAAACTATATTAAGGAATTACTGTTCAACCTATTACTGAACTAAATATTTCAGCTGAAAAATATGCAGATTTTTTTAAATCCAAAAACTATTGCACTTACTTTTTTCACTGCTCTAGTTGTTTATCCAACAGTATCTATTTAAATTGACTATCCGTACGTCCTTTTTAGGACGTAATTTTTTGTTATTTGAAGCCCCACTCTGGCTTTTGCCAGGGGCCGCAATATAGGCAGGCCATAAATGTGGCCAATTGTCTGAACGCGGTTTCTGGGACCTCTCCACGGTGATCCTCATCCACATGGTGGCACTTTGTTTCATCAGGTGTTTATCGCTTGTGTGATGTCCTAGTGGGGTAGAAAGTCAGTCAGTATCTATTTGAATCAACACTTTTTTATTATAAAATCTTAAAACATTTCAAATGCTATTGATATTTTTTTTTCTGTCCCAAAAGGCAGTGTTTGATATTGCTTTCATGGATGTGGGAGTGCTGAGGTAAGTTCATAATGAGAAAGTCTGGTAATTCAACCTGAATAGCTTATAGAATAACTTTTACACCTTCCATATTTGTCCCTACATTCAGTATTACACCCTTCTCTTTCAGAACCATGATAGCTGTACACTTAGAAACATACCCAAAGCTTTCTCAGCCTTTGCTCTAATGTTCTTAATCTTCATCTCGCCAACTTTGTAAGAGCATGCCTGACCTGGTGCTGTGATATACCTGTCTACTTCTGCAGCAATCTGGCTCAAGGGGAAATCACTGTAGCCACTCAGAAATTCAATAGCTCGCTCTCTTGACCATCTGCCAGAAGAAAAACAAATTATTAGCCTGTGTATCAAATTATGTTATGAATTGGAAAAGTAAATGGCATTAGACAATTATATTCGCCCATGTTATAAGTGACAACAAAGAATATTCCTTTGACCATTAATTAACATTTCGAAATGGAGTTAGCAGATTGGACAATGCATCAGATTTGAATATTTTTATTTATGATGCTTTGAAAAAACTATTTCTTTTCTACATTTATTGCTGACCACATCAACCATAGAGTACTAATCGATCCATAAAATTGTGGGACCAGCACCATATATGCTTGCTGCAGATAGGAAGGTCGTGGGTTCGGGTTCTGATGGAGCCAGACTGTTCAGAAATGACCTTGGCTCTTAGATCGACCCAGCCTTGAGTAGGTACCAGGTACATAAAGTCCTGGGAAGTAAAGGTGACTGGCGTGAGCTGACCACATTACCCACCCAGTGCCGACTAGTCTATAAAATATAGGTTTAGCCCTATATGCCTGAAGGCGTGGCAAAGGCTCCTTTACTTCACTAGCAACATATGCACAATGCACTTCAAGGCTTGGAAATGATTTCCTTACTCTCACCAAGACAGTAAGTCATAACCTATTATGATTTCCTTACTCTCACCAAGACAGCACGCCATACTAAACAAAACTAAACAAACCTACCCAAAAGCATGAATTCCAGTGTCAACAACAAGCCGGCATGCCCTAAAGATTTCTGAGACATATCTTCCAAACCTGGACAAAAATGAGTGAAATGGACATGAATATCAAACCACAATAATGTCTGTAGCAAGATGGATGATCACACTATGTGAAATGACACAGCAGGAATTAGTGTAATCCTGTGTAAAAGAAAGGCAAAGAAGAGATGGGAGACCGTGCACCCCTAGGGGTAAATATGGGGAGAAGACTAGGTTAGTTCGACATTAGTCCCCCCCAAATAGAGTAGGTCACTTTTCATTCACAAGCTTGTTGAGCTGGTGGACTTTCCTAAAGGTTACGAGTGTGTCACACTCTGTTGTTTGGTTTCTGCGATGTCTTGCATTCAGGTTTTCATTCCGAGAAAGAGAATGCCTATGACATGGGTTGCAGCACTCTCTGGGAAAAGGGGGGGGGGTTATTACACCTAGTTTCTCCATGTTTCTAGAGTGTTAAAAGCACTGGCATGCTAAAATATACAACATGCAATATCAATGACGTTGCGGAGCATCCCTGTAACCTTGTGCGAAGCTCACAGGGCTCAGAAACTAACAATCAGAAGTGAACTAGTGTGTATACGGGCAGGTCTGGGAAGACTAACGTCTAACTAATATCTAAGTATGTGCCTTGACGCCTTACTAAAGAGCAAAAATTGTTCACCACCCTTAATTACTTGGGACAGAGTAGGTCAGAGGTTATGGTGTTCAGCTCTGGCTGAAAATTTTATTTTATTTTACATTAACTTATTTTATTTGTACAGAATAAGAAAAAGGAATGTGTACTCTCCCCTGATTCTTGGGCAGTTGAAACATCTAGCCTCCTCAGACAAGAAAGACAAATAGCTCCTGATTCCATATTATGTGAAAATGGAACAGACTCAGGTCAAATGTACAAATGAGACAAAACTACCCAGAAAAGAAATATTTATAGCATCTATTATTGTTCTATACCAACACTGAGATGTGCGGCAGTGTTGGACTTTTGCCTACAATAAAGTACCAAATGATTATTTAATGCAATTACTGTTTAAACTAGAAGTTAATCCTATTCTGATCCGCTGGATTGCTGAGGTCCTGATCCAGAAAAAGATTGTACTAAGATGTGGTAGCTGGTCCTCAGAACCACAAACGATATGTCCAGGCTTGCCACAGGGATCACCGCTATCACCAGTCTTATTCAACGTTTATACGGTGATGATCACTGAGCAGCAGTTGAATGGAAAGGGAAGGACTTTGTCATTTGCTGATGACATTTTGATTTATCGACGAAGGCGTGATAGACAGGAGATCGCCAGCACTATGCACAAAGAATTCGATCGAATTGCCGCCTGGTGTGATGGTTCCAATGCCTATGTCAATCCTTCAAAGGCATCAGTGTCATGGTTCTCTTTGAACAATCACATTGTCAAGTCGGACTTACCAGAAGTAAAAATGCGTGATAATGTATTGATCAGAACCAACGTTATGACGTTTCTCGGGGTGAGGTTCGATCGCAGCTTGTCATTCAGGGAACACGTTGACCATGTGATAACAAAAGCACGCAAAGGTCTATCTGCAATGAGGATTATGGCTGCTTCCAATATTGAGCAAAGACTACTAATACTTCTATTCTACGGTCTGGTCCTTTCCCCCATTGAATACGCTCTGGCCATCCTCACTGTCAGTGCTACCCAGATTGAACGACTCGAAAAGGTGCAAAATGAAGCCATTATTTTGGGATGTACAAGAGACACATCCTGTGAAGCAATGAGGTATCTACTTGACTTTCCAACAATGAACCAAAGGATCAGGATGTGGAGGGCTCGGGCATATCTCAAAATATGTGCTGATAAGAAACACCCACTGCATCAAGCGCTTTTTAGTGAAAAGGGCGACAGACTGAAGAGGGGGAAATCGTGGCTAGGTCGGGCAGAAGATGTTATTAGGCAAATATGCAGCCTAATCGACATCATACCTGGTGCAGAATGGATACCTGTGCCTCAGACGTTTATTTGTACATTTTCCTGTATTGTCACACTCAACAGGCGAAAGTAGAGAAGAGAATCCTCTTGCTGTTAATGCAGAGGTCAACGCTCTCATCGGTGAAAATTCAGACAAAGCAGATGCAATAATCTATACAGACGGATCCGTTATACGCCAAAAAAGAAGCGCATGGGCATTCACAGCTCGCTCAGCGTGCAGAACAGTCAAAGAAGCCAACGGCGCCTTCTCCATGACAACCAGCAGCATGACGATGGAGGTGATGCCAGTGACGCAAGCGTTTGCCTGGCTTGAAACACAAAAATACACCCGTGTATGTATACTCAGTGATTCAATGAGTATGATCCGGAGGGTTCAGGCAGGTTCAGTGCGAAGACTATGGCTTGAATCATTACAGAAGTCCACAGTGCGTGGAGTCACCTTTATTTTTGTTCCGGGACACGCAGGCGTCGATGGAAATGAAAGAGCTGATAGGTTGGCTGGATCCGCTATCACTACCGACGGTCAGCCTATGGATCATGCTGATATTATCAATGCCCTCAGAGAAATGGGAAGGATAGAGGACTTTGGTGGCAGTGAATCCACATCACTCGCCAGAATGGCAGACTTGGGAATTAAGATCGGCACAGCAAAAAACGAGACGCACAGCAAAAAACGAGACGCACACCAGACACGCCAGAAGACTTGTTAATCAACATAGAACTGGTACTATTAGCTATCGGACGTTGGGGTTCATACTGAGGGGAGGATCTGAGCACCTATGGACATGTCCGGAGTGCAATGAGGATAACCCAGCTAACTAACTAACTAACTGACTGACTGACTGACTGACTGACTGACTGACTGACTGACTGACTGACTGACTGACTGACTGACTGACTGACTGACTGACTGACTGACTGACTGACTGACTGACTCACTAACTAACTAACTAACTAACTGAGATCTTCACTAATACATAATTCATGACCAAATAATAAGAAGAAAAATAAAAGAACGGTAAACTCTCTCTCTCTCTCTCTCTCTCTCTCTCTCTCTCTCTCTCTCTCTCTCTCTCTCTTCTCTCTCTCTCTCTCTCTCTCTCTCTCTCTCTCTCTCTCTCTCATTGTGTAGTGGATTTCTAGCCTTCTTATCACATAAGTTGTTTGTATGCTTGCTTGACAAACAAATTGTTCCATTCTCTGACCCTCTTCTCCAAAGCCAAGATAAAAATGATGTCACATATCATGCAAGAAAATATTATGCTTAAAAAAAAACCATTTTTCTTTAACTTACGAACAGGCTGACAATCTACTAATGCTTGTACATATAATTTAAGAAACTTATAGATTTTGGGATTTAGGTTGCTCTCCATCATACACATGATACACTCTTGGATCTTAGATGACCTGAGTGAGAAATGTTAGTGATTTTCTCCAGGTAACTGCTCCATAGAGACCTGAGTGAGAAATGTTAGTGATTTTCTCCAGGTAACTGCTTCAGAGAGAATGTTACTCAAGTGCACCAGTCAACATGTTTTGTATATTTGTACATCTTAAGGCAAACTAAATCAGCCCACCAATACAAGTCATCCACAACATGGCCTGTATCTGGATCCCATGTATGCAGTATACCCATGTTTTTGTTGTAATCATTATTGATTCAAGCAGGTATCAGTAATGATCTTCTGGAACTAAAAGAGTTAGAGCCAGGATACTTACAGTTCATAAGGATCCTGGTAGAGGCCAAGTTCATGACCTAGATATTCAGAGTAGAGAGCCCAACCTTCAGCGTAAGCACTGTAGACTGGGAAGTGAAAGGGGACGCTGTAGAGGCGGCCATTCATTGGCTGTGCTCGATACAGGGGAATGTCAAAGTGTTGGGAATAGAAGTCTTGGAAGTGATGGCCGGGATAGGCCTCATGCAAGGTCAACGGCATCATTGTGAAGGTGGACCTGTGGAGTGGTAGTAGCATTAGGATGGTTTCAAACATGAGAACATTAAATTTATTGACTAGCTATTAAACAGTTAGTTGTGTATTCTGTAAATGACATTGCAAACCAACTCATAGCATTTGCTTGCTGCTTGTGGTTTTCACAGGCATTGTTTTAAAGTCAGAAATATAATCAAACTGCTACTGGCTTCACTGGAATCAGAACTCTTCTCTGGCTGCTGAAGATGAGGATGGAGTGCATACTGGAATGTCCTTACAGCCTATTTTTTTTTAATAGTTCTTAATTTTCCACAGGCTCCCCCCCCCCCCTTTTCCCCATTATTCAGGTCATACTGTACATCCTATGTTAGCAGCCCATCTGGTATTTTCAATGATATATTCTTCCTTTCTGATCAGAGTCCATATTTCAGAAGATGGTGTTACAGGTCCAGTTTTTGTAGCAATTATTTTTTTTTTCCACAGCTTCATAATGTTATAAATGAAACAACCTGGCAACGATGCTTTAGGACGTAAAACTGACCAAAAGAGCAACCCAAATTGTAGATGATATCAATACCCCTCAACAGTGTGAAACGTCGTCTAGAACAAACTTTTAAGTGAGACTACAGATAACATCTGAGAAACGTAACAGAACAATAATTAGACTATTTCCAAATACAACAGTCTCAACAGTATTTATGAACATTCAGACCAAAAAATAATATTCATGAAACCAGTATAACTTTATCTCTTCACTCGTTTTCTGAGAGAGAGAGAGAGAGAGAGAGAGAGAGAGAGAGAGAGAGAGAGAGAGAGAGAGAGAGAGAGAGAGAGAGAGAGAGAGAGAGACAGAAAGAGAGAGAGACAGACAGACAGACAGACAGACAGACAGACAGACAGACAGACAGACAGACAGACAGACAGACAGACAGACAGACAGACAGACAGACAGACAGACAGAAAGAGAGAGAGAGACAGACAGAGAGACAGAGAGACAGAGACAGACAGACAGACAGAAAGAGAGAGAGAGACAGACAGAGACAGAGAAGAGTCAGAGATAAACACACAAACTATTTACGATGATAAAAGCCAGTATTGTTTACCCTCTCATTGAATCTTTGATGCGAGACAAGCAAACAGAAAGAAAAAGAAAACCATTCTGACAATGACAACAGTAATGCTCACCTCATCAAACTCTAGTTCCTTTCAGAGAGAAACAGACTGATAAAGAAGCTGTTCTAATAATAACAGACAGTAATGTTTATCGCTTCATTTATTCTTTTAGAAGCAGGGGAAAGAAACAGATAAGCAGACAAAAATAAAAGCTGTTGTAATAAAGGCCAGCAATGCTTACCTCTTCATTGGTTCTTTCAGATTGACATAAAACATGCTGAGACCATAAGAACCCCATGGGCCATCTCGGTCGACTGGAACCACTCTGTTGAAGAAATAGATGTGACTACTGAATTATTCAATTCCCTACTCGTGCTGTTTATCCTTGCCTGTTGTTTGCATAAGAAAAAGGATAGGGAAACATACCTTGGCACACAAAATACTGAATTATCACCTTGCAGGCCTGACTGTTTCCTTGCACTCAAGCTTTGAAAATGGTGTCAAACAGTGGCAACACCTTATACACAGAATAATCAGCAGTACACACATTTATCAGCAGCAGCATTATCTAAACAGTACCATCAAAGTCAGATCTCCTTCCTATCTATGCTAACATCTTTGCTAGGTCTACATCCTGATCTCTAAGCAGTTAACTGCCAATAATGTCTGTATCTGTATTTATCACTTTTGCAGTGTAGGGGAAAAAAAAGGGGGGATGGGTGGGGGGTCTTTGACCTGGAGGAATCAATCCCGGGTCTCCTGCACGAGTGCCCTGCGTTAACTGTTTAGCCAGCCGCTCCTCCAAGCAGTTACCTGGAGAAAATCACTAAAAGTTCTCACTCAGATATATATCAAGCAGTTACCTGGAGAAAATCACAAAACGTTTCCCACTTAGGTCATCTAGGATCCAATAGTGTATCATGTGTAGGAAGGAGAGAAACATAAATTCTAAAATCTACAAGTATCTTCAGATGATGTGTTCAAGCACTAGAAGATTGTCAGCCTGTTCATGGACAAGAAAAGAGTTTCTTAGCATAGCTGTTCCTGTATGACCTGTGACACCACTATTATCCTAGCTGAGGAGAAAGAGGTCAAAGAATGGAACAGTTTATCTTTAGAGCAAGCATACAAACAAAACTTACGTGATAGGTGAAATTGTAAGATTATAAAACAGTATATCCAACCGTGGCAAGATGTCTACTTCAAGTATAGTTCTGTACTTTTCCAAAATCTGGTTCTGCAATTATTGTTTACAAGAAGAGAATTTTACTTGTAACTGATAATATCTGACTGTCTACAAATTTATACTCAAGTAATAAAAGACAAACAGTGCAAGTAAATATGTCATGCATGAGAATATTCATCATCATCCTTTTGTTATGTTACCTATCACAATGGGTTCGCAGACCAGTCATCCATTCCATTTTATCTAGCTTTTAATATCATGGATGGAATTCAGTCCAGCAGCTCTGGCCTCTCTAAAATTTGTGTGCCTTAGGAACCTGTAGATTTGTGTAACCAATACAAGTTTGCATCTGTGTAGAGAGAGCAGGGATTTCTGAAGTGATCTGGCCATATCAAGCCATCCAAAAGTCGTCCCCATGTGGGAGGCACATTTTTGTTATATAAAGCCCCACCCTGGCTTCTGCCGGGGGTCATGAATATAGCCGGGCCATAAATATGGCCTAGGTCATAGATGTAGCCATAACGGCTGAAAGGGGTTTCTGGTACCTCTCCACGGGTGATCTTCATCTGCATGGTGGCACTTTGTGTCACTGGCTGTTTATTGCTTGTATGATGTCCTGGTGGGGTCCAACTACCTAGCTACCTGATCTGGCCATATGCCTCACACACGGAAAAGTCACTGGTTCATGTGTGCAGTTGTTTTTTCTTCGGTTTTCTGGGTGTCGTCACCATAGCTATACAATTGTGAGATGCTTTCAGCTGAAGGGACATGCTATGCAGAGACAAGAGTCGTATTTGATCAAGTGCAGCCTAATGAAGTTGATGCTCTCCCTTTTATTAATCCTAATCATCTTTAGGCTTTAAAATCTTCACCCTTCGTTAAGAATCACTCAACAAAAAGGGCAAGTATCATCATCATCATCAGGTGCCTTGCCGACTGACGTGGGCAATCATGCCTCTCCATAATCTGCGATCTCCTGCAGCATGTATCCGTTCGTGTGCCGACACACCTCCATGCTACGCCACAAGACTGTCAAGCATCTTCTCTCGTTGTCTTCCTCTATCCCTCCTTCCACAGATCTTTCCAGTGGTCACAACATGTTCTGTTTTCCCTCTTCTCATAACATGGCCGAAAAATGATAACTGTCTCCTTCTGATGTCTGTGATAAGTTGTCTTCAGGCTCCCGCCTCTTTCAAAACCTCTTGGTTGCTATTTTGGCCGTCCAAGGTATTCTAAGCACTCTTCTGTAAAACCACATCTCTGAGGCCTCAAGAAATTGTTTGGCCTGCCTACCGATTGTCCAGGATTCACAGCCATATGTTAAAACTGAATGTATGTAGCAAGCAAGAATTCTTTTTCTAACCCTCAATGACAAGGATATATTGCACAAGATGTTTTTCATTTTATAAAATGCAGTTTTTGCCTGTCATATTCTGTTTCTTATCTAATGTTGCATCTTCCATCTGATGTTGTCCATGTGCCCAGATACTTAAATTTCTGTACTTGTCCTAAAATAACACAATCGACTTTTATTGCACATTTAGGAATAATTCGTTTCTTTGATACCACCATTACTTCTGTCTTCCCATTATTCAAACTGAGGCCCATTCTTCCACTTTGGAACACCACAATGTCTAACATTTCCTGTAGTTCTTTCATAACACGTCTATAAATGTGCAGAGGAAGACCAAAAGTCTGCACATTTGGCTAAAAGTTCACCGACACTTCTTCGTCAGCATATCCAGCCCTTGAAGTTCACTGCTGTAGATATCATCCACCTCCATTCATTTCTGTGACTGGCCTTCTCTTTCCAATCAATGAATGCAAGTTTGTGTTTATTCAATAGATCAACATACAGGCACACGGTGTAACTCATAAGTGCCCCGTTCTAACTCAAGCCTGAGTCTGGAGAATCTCAGCGCAGTGCATGCACTCCGTTGTACAGGCGAGGATACTAAAATACTTTGGGTAGATTTTTAACTCAAAATTTTTTACAGGCAGCGCCGTTAGACTACTCTTTTTCGATTTCCAACTGCCAAGGTATTCTTTATGTGCCTAACGATACACACGGGCGTCCGGTCTTACTACCCAAAGACCAGGGTAAATTACTAGAAGTCCAGGTGAAAAAATCCCAGTCTTCACCGGGGTTTGAACCTGGGACCTCCAGCACTTGAAGCGCATGCCATACCTCTGGACCACTTAGCCTATTGAAGTGTTTGTAAGTAAGTAAAAAGAAACTGTAAAGGTCCCTGCCTTTAGGCGTATAGGGCTAGACCAATTTTTATAGACCAATCGGCACAAGATGGGTGATGTGGTTAGCATCATGCCGGCTGCCTTTACTTCCCGGTACCCACTGCACCCGGTACCCACTCAAGGCTGGGTCGACCTAGGAGTCAAGGTCATTTATGAAAAAAGTCCGGCTCCACCAGGGAGCGAATCCATGACCTTCCGATCCGCACCCAAGCGTCTAGTCACTGCGACTCGCGTTTGTAAGTATGCCTGTATATTATCTCTCCACCGACTTCTTGCTCTGCTTTGCAAGGAGCCTTTTTCTATGCCTTCATGTGTTTTGAGTTTATATGGCTAGACCTATTATAGTTCCATTCAACTCTTTAGTGTACACGAACATCATTTCTTACAATAACCAGCTCAGAATACAACAAAGGAAACTTGTGCAAACATACCTTTGTATGATTATAAAACTGAGGAATGGTTTCAATGTGTTTAAAGAATGACTTCAGATCTCCCAAGAACCCAACACTTGACATCACCTGAAAATATCACATATTAATATGTGCAAAGTCATGAAGGTATCGAAAGACCATCCTGCTCTCACATCAAATATCCCCCTTTACAAATGATCTACTTCAGGATGCAGATGTGCTGAGTTCCATGTGCATGAGGACAGGGAAACAAAATGAGGAAGATTTACCTACACCTCTCTGTGGTCATCCTTACATGTTCCCAGCCTGGGGCCGACCAACGTAGATAGAATCAACGTTTCCCTTAAAATAAGAAAGCATCTGCCTGTGAGAGTCTGTATACCAATGAGCCAGGTCTGTAAAACGGACGTACATGCAGCACCCAAGTTTTGGAAATAGGTCAAAGTCCAGAAGTGAACGAACAACCAGGATTTTCTGCCGGAGCTTACATACTTGAATTTTTGCCAAGAATCACAAACAGGTCCCCTCAAAACTGTGAGTATCTTTATTTATTTTTCTGCTATTTATCCCCATTGAAGCATAGTCCCTCAACCTACTTATGCAAAGCCATCCTATTTGTCCAAATATACTGCATATCTCCCCACGCCCTCATATTTAATCACCTCTGTCTCTATGTGGTTTTCCCCAATGTTTTTTTTTTGTGTGTCCTGTGAGTTCCGCTTAAAGGATATTCTAGTTTTTTTTTAACAATGTGTGCTGTATCCAGCATCAGCATCCTTTCTTTACATTTTGGTTGATGAATGATAGCCTTACAGCTACTCCAAAATATCTTTTCCCATTCAAACATGTTCTACTCTTATTTATATGCCATCATCCACCCGTATACATAAAATGTAAAGATATCCCTACATCGGTGACTGCCACTGGAGTGGAAAGTGTTGTTATTGGTACCTTTCCGTCTTTCCAGACGACAAGTGTTCCACTGTGCTGTAAAGATGCATGGGAATCACATTCCATGGAGATGACGAGTGTGACTACCAAGATCAGTCTGCGTTAAGAAGAATCTGTCACAATCATTGCATGAGATTTTAGGACCACTGCTGCCATCACATATATCTGTCATGTTTCTTCTCAGATGCTCAGTTAATAATTTCCCTTCAATCCTTTTCTCCTTTGTCCCTATTCTCTCCTTCTCCCCATCCCCTCCCACCCTGCATAAAATGTGACTGATGACTTCCTGTTTCCATTAATCAATCTCCCAACCTGTATAATTCATGTTCCGCTTGCACCAATCTCTCAATCATAGTAGAAGCAAACCTGAACATCTTCTACCCATCTGTAATTCCTTAGGGACTCTGCCAACCTCTGTGTGTGTCCTAGCCATCTGGGTATTTACAGAAAGAGCACTAAGAAAACTGTTGTGATATCTGCTCCTCCCAACACCTCAGTTTTTGTGATATCGTCTTGCCACTTAATTATGAAGTGTTTGGCCTTCACATATTCTAGGTCACACAAAAACTTAAGTGTGGTGGACAGTTTCTGTCCTCGACACCTTTCCTTCCAGAACATTAGGAAAATTGTCTTTTTCCCATTTTGATAAGGCTGGGTTGATACCAGCTCTATCCTGATAGACAGCAATAATCCTGATCTTCTGAGGTACAATGTATATCAAATTAAACATCATATTCATCTGCCATCATCCTCACAGTCAGACATCAGTCTTGGTATATCCGTTCTCGAACACTGGCAATTAGTTATTTACTCACAACGAACAGAAATTGAACATCCCAGCTTATCTTAATCTTTTCTCTGTTCCACTCTAGTTTTGAATCACGAATACCAACCACCTCATGCACAAGATAACACTGATCCTCATAAACATGACTCATTAATTCAGCGGTCTCACACAATAGAACTTTTCCAAGCCTGGAACAAAACTAATGCTTGGCTCCATGTTGTATACGTAACAATGCAACCTTTATTAGTTTTAAAAAATTGATCGGTTATTTGTCATCTGCTGAACGGACACATTACAATTCTGCCAGATCATAGATGAATGGTGCCAATGTGAATGACATGCTGTGCTTCACGGGTGGTGTTTATTTTCTGGCCATAATAAAACCAATCTCGTTATTTAATGGCCAGACTCTGTGTATGTGTGTGTGTGAGTGCAAGCACATGCATATGTGTGTAGGCTTATGTGTATAGCATGACATCTGTCTACCTCACACAAATATCAGCATGTAATCTTTCTATCCACATACCATCTAACTCTACCTAAACATCACGATCATCAATTACCAGTGTTTTCTTTAAGCACAAAGCAGTTTGCAATCCATTGAATCCAAACCATACCCAGTCGTTATAAATCATCAATCCACAAACAATTAC